TTTTATACGTGAACAAGTTGGAGTAAAGTGTGATGTAAGGTATACGTATGAGTACGTAAATGTATGTATCTTTGTATGGGTCTGTGTTGCAAGTGAATATAAACGTACACATACATATGTACATTGGTGTCTCATGGTGCACGCCGTCAGGCCCGCGGCCACTACATTCCAAGGGCTGCCCAAACTAAACCCTACATCTTTTATATACTCAATCCTCCTAAACCCCTCTTCTTTCTTCCACAACCAGATTCCCAACCTAGTCCCTCTCTTTCTCTCTTTTCCTTTCTTTGATTTTTGTAAAATACTTTTTTGTGCCCATCTCCTCCAACGACAACTTGGTCTCAACTTCGAAAGACTCGTGTCCCTTTTACCACAAAAGAAACGGTAGCTCCACAAGTATCTCATCTCTCTTTCTTTTTTTTCTACTGGTAATATCATCAACGACACCTACCTACCCGGATCATCTACCTAATTTTTCTTCAATAAAAACAAAAATATCTCCATCCTTTTTTTTTTCTCCCGCACGTTTTCTAACTTTCAATCAATTGTATATGCTTGAAATTGAAACGATTCTTATTTCTGTTAGATCGATAACTTAGGGTTAGTAATTTGTTTTATTTCGGTTGATATTACCTAAATTCATTAGAGTGTTTTGATGATGATGATGATGATGAGATACGACAGGGTTAGATCTATCCATGTAGGTGGATTAAACTCGAATGAATTCCTCCTGGCGTTGTAATCAATTTGACTAATTTAATTTAAGTACGAAACCGGTTTAGTTGGGCCATTTCTCACATTCGTTCACCAGCCACGTTTGGACCGTACCCTTCTCCTATAGATTTTAACGTTCGTGTCGCTTAATCGTTGGGACCTTCGAGATAATTTCAATGCAAATCAAATACAAAACGTGAGATCCTTTAAGCGATTGCTATCGGTCATTTAAAAACGATTCGATTATTCTTCTCTTTTTATTTTAACATTGATCGTACCTCCGAGACTCTAAAATCTCATTCTAAACTGTTTCGAATGTTAACGATTATTTGTTTTACCCTCGTTAATTATAAATTCCTACCTCCCTGATTACCTACTTTTCAAAACCATTTATTACCATTCAAATCAGATTATCTTGACATTATTATCTAATAAAGTATAAGATCAATTTGAAATTTGGGGAACAAATACAGGACAATGTTAACCCAATTTTATTTTCCTCTTTACGAATTTATACTTAGAAAAAAAAGATAATGGTATCTCGTAAATTATATTATAATAAAATGAATATTGTTTCTCTCTCTAAGCGCGCGCGTGTGACTTGAAAATTACAATGGCATTAAAGAGGGGTGAGGTAAAAACAAAAGAAAAAAATAAGAAATTGGAATTGTGTTGAGTATTCAATTCTCGGATAAACTAACGGTTAATGATATTTGTACGAAATGATCACAACTGTTAAGGAAGAGATGTGCATTTTCTCTTAGAATCTTCGAAGTCGATAAGAGGAGGACAATAATGCATCCTTGCATGTCGTCTTCGTCTTCGTCTTCGTCGTCATCGTCGTTGAACGAGCGAAAGTCTCTTGGAAGAAGAAGAATCACTGTGTTAGAGTGAGTACTCTTGTGAGTTCTATCTTTCTTTCTCATTCTTTAATTCTTTCTCTTTCTCTCTACTGCTAACCGGTTAGCAGTAAATCCTTTAGGACGATCCAAATCGTTCCAATCCTGGGATTCGTGTCGTCGAATAAAATCAAATCGAATAGTCCGAATTCTCCAACGACAAAAAAGAAAAAAAGAAAAGAAAAAGAAAGAAGTAAAATATATTTGACTATGAAACAATTAGGTGCATTATTTTTCGAATTAATCTCCTTACAATGAAAATAAATTTATTCGATTCTTTTTATTCGACTTTGCAACACGGATCAAAGATATTATCTACAAATATGTAATTATCTACGATTTATGGTATATAATTTGTAAGAAATTATTTAAACAAAAAAAAAAGAAAAAAGAAATGAAAATCGTTCGATATCGAGAGGAAGGTATGAATGATCGGTGGAAAATGTATATGCGAATTCTTAAAGAAACTTATAGTACATTTAGTGAAACACAGGTAAGAAAGTTACATGGAATGCATTCAAACGAGTTAAGATGTGCAAATTTCTATGCACGTTCTCTTCCTTGACGCAGAAAAAACAACTGTGCGAATGTCAGTTTTTCTTCTTTTAGATCGAAGTGCAACTGTGTGTAAAAAAAAACAAAAAAAAGAAAATAAATAAAAAGGGATGATAATTGAATTCTTATTGAAAACTTACAAGAGCAGTACCGACCAAAACGAAGGATGAAAATGAACGCTAGGACATGTCGGAATCCGTGTTAAATCTAAAGGACACATTCACGTTAAAAGTAAAATCCACATTGACGAGCCACGTCGAAGATCCTTCCTTTGATTTTTCATTTCACACTCGCATAGTTTCAACAACACGTTTATAGTATTTTTTATTAAATCATTACAGTGACACAGTTAACATTTATTAGTCTTCTTCTTCTTCTTCTTCCTGCAAACTTGTGTCACACTGTTAAACTTATTTTTTGAAAGATAATCACACGTGTGTTCCCATGATCACTAAATTTAATTATTTAATATTTCTATTACACGTTAATTATAAGAGTTCTTCGTTAAATAGATAAAAATTAAACAAACAAAATACAGGTATATAAATGTTCGAAAATTTTGGTTTTTAAATTGAACCGAAAAATACTTCGTCTTGATTGTTTAGGATTTTTGAATATGTTCTTTCTATTATATACTTTTTGATTGTACTACCGCGCAAGTATACTATTCTTTCAACGCGCCCAATCGTATAGCTTCTTTTTCGGCAGCTGTCAATTACTAGGAACAGAGAGGCACCGCGCGTCTTTACAGCATCCCAGGCGGAATCGCTTTCGGTCCAGACTGATTGTAAGTAAAGAGAAGGGGGAAAACAAGAAGAAGAACTACAAAAAATAGTTATGGTCAACCGTAAGAAAATGTGGAAGGTCCGACAGTAACGCTGTCGGACCTTCCAGCGGCAAATTTTCAAAACTAACCGTTGGACAGGTATTGATATTATCGAATTCAGGTGATAATAAAGAACACCGACGTTACCAAAGAATACAGAAGTGCATAAAAGTGCATAAAAGTGCATAAAAGTGCATAAAAGTTTACAAGTCTAACAGTGGGCGATAGTAGGTTCTTAATGCGATGACGACATAATACTATCAAAGAATACACTATTCTTTATTCCTTATTTTTTAAATATCAACAAAGATAACTTGATACAAAAAAAAAAAGAATTATGTCGTTAAAAATTATTTAAATTTGATAACAAAAAGAAATATTTCCAGTGTGTTTCTTTAAGAAATTATTTTTTATACAATTTTATTTACTGAAGTATATAATTAGTAATATGTAATACACAAGTAGTATAATATTTATTTAAATATAATTAAAAGACAAAAGAGAAAATATTTTTTGGAAACACACTGAAATATACAGCCATTAGCCCGATAGTACTTGCGTTACATAATTTACAATTAAATTTGAATAAATCGCAAGTAATACCGACCCAGGTCTCACCACTAGGAGGTTGCTGTTTTCGGAGACCCACGGGCTAAGACTCTACTTCTAATATTTATATTTTTCTCTAAAAAATTCATTTTTTTATATTAATCATTTATTAGAAAACAATTTTTTTTTCAAAAAATGCAACCCGTAAAACGAGTCATACATTTTTTCTTTCAACTTATTATTCAAGTTGAATGAAAAATCATGAACATCGTTTTAAATGGATCCTACTTACCCGATTTACAATCCTAAATTAACGCAAACATGCAAACGCTTTTCACGTAGATCCGGTTGAAATTTTAAATACAAAATGCAAGTTTTTTTTTATTCAACAAACGCAAGAATATGAACCGTTTTAATTTACATTCGACCGAAATTTACAATGTAACAACACGCAAATTGTTACAATAGGAACGCACGCATTTACTTACGTGCACATTTTATTTTAATAATAATAAGAATATTATTTTAATAATAATAAGAATTCGTAATGAAATATTAAAAATATACATCATATTATTGAATGAGAATAATTTAACATAAATTCTTGTTTCATTACTCATCTTATTATTATACTTATAGGTAACCAATTTTATTATCTTATCATCTAATATATAATTCTATCTACGACTAATCCTCTTCAGATGCTATTAACAATATTGCTATCTGTGAACAGAAACAATCTAAAAAAAAAGATTTATAATTAAACAAGAATTGATGAAAACCAGCAGCCATCAGTGAAAATGTCTTGACAATAAATGCATAATATATATATATATAGTTTTCTTTTTGTTACAGGTGATCATCGTTGGATTTAACACAAACGTTCGAGATTGTTTTCTATTCGTATGTGTTAAATGATTATTTTTTAAAATATGTGTATGATATAAATGCATTTCTGAAGATACACACATGTTTATACGCTAAAAATTAAATATAATTATTTAATATTCTATACAATATAAATATACAATATAAATATACTATATATATATATATATATACAATCTATCAAGTGCAGTATTCTTTAATAGTATTGCACTTTCATCGCGTTAAGTACCCACCATCGCCCACTGGTGGTCCCGATAGTAACGAAGATGAATCTTGTTAGATAAAAAAGGCGACTTTTGATCTTCTATGTACTTCTATATTCTTCGATGTTACCTACAAATAGTGAGATAATGAAAATGTTTAACAATTGTTTGAATATATATTAATTTAAACGACTATTATTATAATTAACATTAATTCGAACTAATTTGAATGATATGTTAAAGATTTTCGATACAATCGAGTTCTATTTGAGGAGTAAATGAAAGAATTTAAATTCTCGCGGTTATCGAAGCATCTGGCGGGATTTTTTGAAATAATGTCGTTCATCTTGGAAATTTATTATTAATGCATAGAGTGAAACGCGTGCGCGATGACGTGAGACGAATTTCGTGCGATTTCTCGTGCGAGTCAGCAAGAGAGAATTGCAATCGTAATAAGTTAGAGAAGGGGTGTGCGCCCCCGGTTACTTGGATACAGTTGTGGTTATTATCACATTTTGACAATAAACTTTGAATCGGTGCTGCATGGTTTTGAAAATAACATTTTATCGATATGGGTGAGTTGTGTCATGAATTAAAGATTACGTGTGCGCTTTTCGGGTTGCCTACCGAGCTGAGTACAAACACTGTAAGATTATACATGAAACTTATTTTATCATTTGAATAAATATATTTAAAGTTTTTTTCTATTTTTTATTTCAGGAGGGTTGCTCAGTTATTTTCGTAATCTGCTAGGAAGTCGAGAAATGCGAATATTAATTTTAGGCTTGGACGGAGCCGGTAAAACTACGATTTTATATAGGTTTGTTATTCTAATTTCAACAATGACAGTTCATATTTAATTGATCTATTTTTGTTACCAACGAATTATAATCAACTCTTTGTTTTTTAATCATTAATTACTCATTTCCTTAATATCTTTATGATATACATGCTATATCTTATCACTCGTTATAATCATCAATCAATATTTGTCAACCTATTCCTGTTTCCAATGTATTTGACAGTCTGATATAACTAAAAATATCATTATGTATATTTTTACAATTCTTTGACAATCTTATGTCAGATTGCAGGTCGGCGAAGTGGTTACTACGATACCTACAATAGGATTTAATGTAGAACAAGTTACATATAAGAATTTAAAATTCCAAGTATGGGATCTCGGAGGACAAACGAGTATACGGTAAAGTAAACAATTTATCTCGATAATTTTGATCTTTAAAACGTTAAACGGTTCCTACAATGTAATTGTTATACTCAGAAAATAAATTGATAATTGATATATGCATTAATATTTCAGACCATATTGGAGGTGTTATTATTCTAATACGGATGCGATAATATATGTGGTTGACTCTGCAGATAGAGATAGAATAGGCATATCAAAAGATGAGCTAATATATATGCTAGGGGTAAGAAAATATATTGATTTGAATATACACGTCAGTAAAATTTTGAAATGTTTAACAAATTGAATCGTTTAAGACCCAGAAATCTTCAGAAAAATCGTATTAACAATTCCATATTTTGTATTTCAATAATATGATACTTTTTGATAAGAAATTTGAACAACGCAATGGGACTGAAACGATTAATATATATTAGTTTAGAATCGATTTAACTATATCATTTAATTTGTGAAGGAAGAAGAATTACAAGGTGCCATTCTGGTAGTACTGGCAAACAAACAAGATATGGCTGGTTGTTTAAGTGTTGCAGAAGTGCATCAAGCTCTTGGATTGGATGCACTTAAGAATAGAACATTCCAAATATTTAAAACTTCAGCAACTAAAGGAGAAGGTCTTGACCAAGCAATGGATTGGCTGTCAAACGCGTTACAGAGTAGAAAATGATCGACATTAAATCATCATCATTTTTCTTACTCAAGCCTTATAAAGAGACTGGTCGTATGACTGTCATTTCAAATATCCCATGTAATTGGGAAGAGCTCATTTGTGTTTATTTATTCAAATATTATTATATTTTATAAATACCTTGCATTTTTCGCATATAAAACTGACCATACTTTTCATAATAGATAGGACATGATAGATGTCAGAAATTTTATCTTTCTTACGAATCAAGATAAAAAAAATAAAACAAAGACAAGAAAAAGATAAAATGAAGGAAACATATGCGAATATATATACCTTTGTATTAAAATGTAATTGAATCACTTCTCTTAAGATGATTATTTCATCTTTACACCCATTATATGATTGTAGAGAGCCGAATACTTTTTTAATATTAATCCCTACTATCCTTATTTAATATTATTTGTAAATGAAAGTTAATATATTGGAAAATACTGTCACAAATAAAGACTTAATTTCATATGCATTAACAGAACAATCTGAAGAAAAATGATTAATGAATCTAGTTAATGTTTTACATCTTAATATAAATAATAATCATTAGTTAATAATGTACCTATTAAATAAGTTTTTGCTGAGTGTAAAGTGACGAAGTACGTAGTCACCTAAGCGAACATTTAAAAACAAAACAAACGTGTAAAGAAATGCGCCAATTTAAAACAAAATCAAGCAAAATAAAACAAAATGAATGAATCAAAATAAAAGGAGGTTTTTTCGAATAATTTTTAACAATCGGGAGTTCCAAATCTTTCGATCTTTTTAATCTAAGCGTCTAATTCAATGTGAATTTTTGTTTATACATTTAAAAACTAAACACACGCATAAAGAAATGCACTAATATAAAACAAAATCAGGTAAAATAAAAAAATAAAGGAAGATTTTTTAATGATGTTTACCATATCGGAGTTCCAAATCTTTCAATCTTTTTAACCTGAGAATCTAGCTCTATCTGAATTTTTTTTCTCATGTAGAATATAGGACAGTCACGGCTGAAAGAAAAAGAAAAAAAGATTTATTATAAACATTTATGCACACTTAAAAAACAAAAATATTTCCAATTTACCTGGAGCACAAAACTTGTTGATGCAAACTTCCTTGACATCTTTGACACTCTGTCCATAATGAGTTATACTTTTCTTCTAATTTTATTTGCATCGTTAACTCAGTTTGATAAATTTCAGCTTCGCGTTTTTCGCAATACTGACACACAGCCATTTTTTCTCTTTCCAGCGGTAAAATAGACTTACAACCAATACAGGTTTCTTTTTTATGTGTGAATGCAGCTAATGCGCCAACTTTGGAAGTGGCAACAATTTTTGTACGCGTATGATCGCCTCTTAAAAGTAATGATTGTGCTTTGTCCCCAAGAATTGGTTCAAAGATGCGTAATAACGGCTTAGACAATTGATTTTCTAAATAATAAGTGGTATCAATAGGAATACTATTTTGTAAGACATATATAGGATCCTCAGCTTTCTTATAAGCCGGAGTACCCTTAGAAGCATTTATAAATACATATGGAATACGATCACCGAGTTTAGGTGCTGTTCCCGCATCACGTTTTTTCATTTTTGCTGCTAATTCGACATGCGCTTGTTTTGCAGTGTAATCAGTCTTCGTTAATTCTTTTGTAATAACCAATTGAGATATGTCGATACGATTACATAAAAGATCACTTATCATTTGTTTCGCATAATCAAGGGCATCATCGGGATTTCTACACACAAATGCAAGAAAACATTTATTACATACAAATGATTTAATTATGAAATACAGATATTGTAATTGAACTTACCTATCAATAAGTAATTTTTCTAAACAGGTGTTCATCATGTTTGCTACTAAAGGACAATTATCTCTTCTTACAGTTTCTAGGCCTTTACAATCCATTTTATCATGTTTATCAGGCTTGGTAAAGTAAAGACCAGCGTATCTTTTTTTATTTATTAAAAGATACGGAAAGTAAACTTTTTCAAATTCTAATTTAATGGGTTTAATAAATTTGGATGTAACGTATTCTGCAGCTTCTCTACCTAATTCCATTGCCTCTTCTACCTTCTTGATACCAAATTTAACCATTACAGAATCAGTATCACCATATATAACAATGGCATCGTTTTTGTAACCATTTTCAATGCGGTAATGATTTTCGACTTCCTCTTTCGTTTTTTCTATCATATTACGTCCATAAGCAGTAACACTTGCAGAAATTTCTAAACAGGGTAATTTCCCCATCTGCGCGCCTGTAAATCCGTACACAGAATTTGCTGATACTTTTAAAGCATACTGTCTACCATCCAAGACCTTTTGTTTAAGAGGATCAGTTTCTTTTTTTAATTCAGCTTTGGCATTTTTTCGAGCTGTCAAAAGATTTTCCAAAATTTCTGGAAGCAATCCTTTTCTAATATGAGATTTAACAAATAATGAATTGCTTGGAGTCTGCGTAACGTCATCGGTCTTTAAATCAAATTTGTTTTGTTTGTCAGGTGTTAATAAAGTCGTATAGCATAGATTATGAGCCATAATAATACTGGGATATAGAGAACTGAAATCCAAGGTGGCTATAGGATCATTATAATAGCCACGTTTTGGTTCTATGACTGTAGCTCCTTCAAATTGTTCATCTGTTCCATGTCCGCTGTGTACTGGCATTAAAAAACCTTTTTCTTGTGTCTATTAAGAAACATATAGACAATAAAATATTTGATATGTATTTAGTATTAATAAATACTTAACAAATGTACCTTTCGTAAAAGTTGAGAAACAACTTTAATTTGTTGTCCTCTAGTTAATAGAGTCATTAAAGATACGCCGGTAACTCTTGCCATTTCCATATAAATAATAATACACATTAATTTGTCCAATAACCTTAATGGTAAATATGCATCCTTCAAGCAATACACAGCAAGCCGTCTTCGAGTTTGCGAGTTACCATTCTGCAGATCAGTAATAATACTATGATGCACATCTTCTTTTTGTTCTTGCAAAAAATGATAAGAAACAGCATTCAAAGTATAGGACCTTAATTTATAGTCTCTGACTAATACCTAAAATGCAAATAAAAAATATATAAATATAGTACTTTTTAATTATTTCTTTGTAGTAATTTCTTAATTTATTCACCAAATATAAATCGAATGGTATTCTGCCTTCAAAGTTTATAACTTTATATTCACGTCGTCCCATTTGTTTACTCTGCAATACCTGATCTTTGATCACTGATTTTATATCTCGGATTCTACCAAGATATACGAAGTCTTTGACGTTGAGAAATTTAGCACGATTAATTAAATATGGAAAATCAAAATTACTAATATTGTATCCAGTAAAAATATCCGGATCTAATTGTCGTATGAATTCAGCCCATTTCTAAAAAACAAAACAAAATTAATTAATAATATTAACGTATTATATAAATAGAATATATTTGTTGTTATTGCAAATGTACCTTTAAAAGTTCTGCTTCTTCCTTGAAACAAAGAACTTGACAACCAACAATAGGTGCACACAAATCGAGGGTAAATATATTTCGTAAAAACGGTTCAGTTTCTCCTTGCCTGATTACCATATTTGCAATTTGTATAACGGGATCATGGTTAGGGTCAGGAAATATACCTACAAATAAATATCTAATAAATGATGTAGTCAATCAAATTAATACTAATTTTATGAAGTATTTTTTTACCTTTTCGTCCTGCGCATTCTATATCAAAACTAAGTATTCTAAATGGTGCAACTTTGGACCATTCGCCTTCTGCTGGATGAGCTTTAAAAGCATCCCATGCAACATCTACTTCTAACTGGCATCTAGATGTTATCGGCAATTTGTGTTCTTTTTGACCTCTTAATTTCCATTTCTTTGGTGATAGTTCGATCCAACAACAACCTACTACTGATGTATCTACCATAAATCTATTAAGAATAAAAAAATTCATTTGAGAATCTTTTAACAGTATATTTCATCGTATTTTTGTTAAATAATCTTATCCATACCTAATATCAAAATCAATATTAGTTTCAAATGGTGTATAAGTATGATTAAATGCGCTATAAACAATTTCTTTTTCAAGAAGTCTTTTACAAGCTGCAATTAACTTAGGAAGTGCGACTGTAATTTTGAGAAATGCATTTTTATCATTTCCTGTATATGAATACACAGTTTGCTTGTACACAATTTCAACAGCTAACACAGCTTCTTGAATATTATTTTGATTCGATTTCATATCTTTTTTAACAGCTGTATTGAGTGCATCCTGCAACAAAATTTGTGATTATTTAAACTTGAAATTAATAAAATCTCTATGAATGTTTCAAATTATATTTCTTGTATAATATACCTTGAAAGGTTTACAATGCGCATCTGTAAATTTTTGTGGTGCTGTAACAAATAGGTATGGACAAAATCCATGAACATGACAACAAACAGAATTTCCTTCTTCTGTTACACCAAACATTCGCATGATTGGAACAGGCCCACATTTATTACCTGGCATTCCTGGTAGCGGCTCACCTTTTTAAATAATAATTATTGATTAAATATATCCATCCCTATCATGTTGATTATTTCAGAAATATAATTTAACTTTAATGTAATTTTACCTATATAATGATCAATATCTATTTGTTGAAAAATTAGTTTATCAATTTCTGAATTTAAATCTGGTACAGGTGGCCTACCCCATTTCGTAGATATATTTTCTTGTTCAGGACCCTGTAATGCAATATTTAATCAATTAATATTGTATAATATATAAATATATAAATTTGTATATATATTATGATATTATGAACACATGTTTTACGTTCATTGCTGTTACAAATGTCTATTGCTGAGCTTTCAATAGAAATCTGTACGTCACAGATGAGATAATGGTAGCAAATACGTAAATGCTAAACCTACCACGACTTGTCAAAGTGACCAGTTTAAATAGAAAATTTCAATGAAGGATAAAAATTTGGTAGGTTTAGTGTTAAAAAAATTATATTAATAAGATTGTATGGCTGTAAAAATAAAAACATAAGGCAAGCATTCATGGTATAAAGCGATTAAAACAATGAATTAATATATGCAACTTTTATCGGTTATACAGATGCATATGAACGATTATGTGTAGGCATACATTTACATGTCGAAATGAGCTTACAATTATCGTTACCAAATTAACTCACTGCGTTTGGCTTATTGATTATCATCATTTCACAGTTATCGATAGGCTAAAGAATAAAATTAATATATTTAATAATAGACATCGCCACAGTCTTATGCTATATATATGATTTAATATTATTAAGATATATTTATAATTTGTTTAAAAGAATTGACAATCTGATTATACTTTAATCTTTATTTAAACATTAACTTACTTCGCCAGTTACTTGTGTAACCACATCAAATTCATCATCTATATTTTCCATATTCGCCAATTCTGCTTCAAACGACCATGGAACATCATCGTCGTCGTCATTTTTACTAAAAGATAAGATTTTATAAAAGTTAATACGTTTTTTTAAACAATCGTTTTACTAATTCAAGATAAGAATGTTAGAATCAGAGGTTATATTATACTTGAATTTTGCTTTTTTAGCAGGTCCAGATCCCAGATATTTTCCTTTACTCATGTTTAGTTATTTATTTATTTATTTATTTATTAATAAACTTTAAATATTAATAAATAAACATAAAACGTAATATATTTCATTCGTAACTGTATACAATTAACTACTAACAACCTTTTTCGAAATTACGAAAAAGGAGGGAATTTAAATTTCCTTCTTTGTTATTGGTTTGTTTATTTGTTTCTTTATTTCTATGGTTTGCATCGGTGCACCGTCTACCAACTAAAAAATGTACTAAATTCGAGAATACGAATATGAGTTAGTCCATCTAGTGTAGTATATAGCATACCGTGCAAAATGAATTATGTCAAACAGCGTTCTAGTGCTTAGTTAATGTTTAGTTAAAGTATTTAGAATTTAGTGGTCGTGACTGTGAATTTCAATGTGTTATAATGAAGAATTAAATCCTAGCAGGACGTAGTTGTAATTGCGACATGGCATCCCGCAGGTAAGGCACGTTTTTATACTCGTTGAAAAAAAATAGGATTATCGTAATTCATGGACATTCCAAGAACAATTTTGCATATCGTCGGCACAACAGCAGGTTAGTCAGACATACTTAGAAATTAATTGTCAATGTTATAAATAAACAATCGTTTTTTATTGAGCACATTTACAAAAATGCATTTTTGAAATTTTCCAAATTCTTAAAAGAATATTTTTATTTCCAAATAATATATAAGTTTGTACTTTACATATTTTTTACATTATTGCACATAAAAATGTCTGTGATAATATTTATTATAAAAATTTCATGTTTTATTGAGAGATGCAATAGGTTATTAAATATTTAATTTTCAAATTTGTAGTATAGAGGAGCAGAAAAAATATTTTATTACATTGCTGCACATGCGAATGAAAATAAATATTTCTGATCGTAGATGGTTTCATCCTAACATATCAGGATTAGAGGCAGAGCGTTTATTAATGGAACGAGGTTATGATAGTTCCTTTCTAGCACGTCCAAGCTCATCCAATCCTGGTGATTTCACGTTATCTGTAAGGTAAATTCAAGCATTACTTTTGTTAAATTTAGATGATAAAATATAAAGTACGTATTATTAATTTATATCATTCATTATGTTCATAGACGCAATGGTGAAGTGACTCATATTAAAATACAAAACACAGGAGACTTTTATGATCTTTATGGCGGTGAAAAGTTTGCTACATTGTCAGAACTCGTACAATTTTACATGGAAAATGGTGGTCAGCTACGCAAAAAGAATGGAGAGATAATAGAGTTGAAATATCCTTTGAATTGTGCTGATCCAACGACTGAAAGGTATTGTATAATAAAATATAATAAAAGGTGTAATTCCTTTTTATAAATTGCAATTTAATATGTTAGTATAAAAATCTTCTATTATTACTTTAAATGCGCACATATAGCATGGTATGTTAATAGTAAAATATGGGTAAAGGTGGTTCCATGGCCATTTATCAGCAAAGGAAGCAGAACGTTTGATGATGGAAAGGGGAAAAAATGGATCATTTCTAGTTCGTGAATCACAGAGCAAACCTGGGGATTTTGTATTGTCTGTTCGTACTGATGACCGTGTTACACATGTTATGATACGATCACAGGTTAATTATATTTGTTCTATATATTTTTATTATCACATATTTTTATTGTAATTTATATTTCATTTCGTTGAACTGTTAGTAATTAATAAAATTTGTATATATTACAGGACAATAAATACGATGTGGGAGGAGGAGATAAATTCGATAGTCTCAGCGATCTTATAGAACATTACAAACGAAATCCAATGGTTGAAACAAGTGGAAGTGTTGTCCATCTTCGGTAATAATATTTGTATTACTATTATTCATGAATTATCATGCTGTACGCTTATAATTGTTAAAAATAATAATTGCAATGTTTATTTTCTTTTTAGACAACCATTTAATGCAACTCGTATAAACGCCAGTGGAATTGAAAGTAGAGTAAGACAGTTACATAAAGAGAATGGTTGTTCTAATGGATTATTATGTCGAAATGGAGCGACAGATACTAATGAAGGCAGTACAGGTCGTGGTAAAGGAAAAGCAGGATTTTGGGAAGAATTTGAATCATTACAACAACTAGAATGTCGTCATTTGTTTTCTAGGAAAGAAGGTTTAAGATTAGAAAATCGAGCGAAAAATCGATACAAAAATATTTTACCGTGTAAGATTACATATTTATACATACATCATTTTAAATGATATTTTTTGTTTCTATAAATTGTATATTATGTAATTTATTACAGTTGATCATACGAGAGTACGCTTAAAGGATGTTGATCCTAGCGTACCTGGATCAGATTATATCAATGCTAATTATATCAAGGTACAATTTATTTATCGCATAAATATTTTTTATATACTAATTTTAAATCTGTTATATTTAATAAGTATTCTTTACAGAATGAAGAAGGCGATGGAGCAGTACCTGGTGTTAGTGGAAATGAGGTTGGTCAATTTAATAAATGTTATATTGCTACACAAGGTTGTCTTCCAAACACTATTGGAGACTTTTGGCACATGGTGTATCAAGAAAACACTCGAGTAATCGTTATGACTACGAAAGAAATGGAAAGAGGGAAAGTAAGCTAAAAAACAAATTTTTGTATATCAAATAGTATTATGCATGTAGTTAACGACCCATGTATCATTGTTTTTCAGAATAAATGCGCTCGGTATTGGCCTGAAAAAGGAGAAATAGCAGAATATGGAGGCACATGGAAAGTTAATGCCATTTCTTGTACCGAAACAATTGATTATACCTTACGTGAATTTTCATTACAAGGAAACAAACCCAATTTCACGGTTGCTAGAAGGATATACCATTACCATTTTCAAGTTATTATTTTTCTTTCATTGATTATAGTTCGTAAAAGATTATGAAAACCTATGCTGCATATTATAAAAAGAACACATAATAATTTATAAAATGTTATATTGATAATATATTTTCAAATTATTTTATAGGCATGGCCCGACCATGGTGTACCATCGGATCCTGGTTGCGTTTTAAACTTTCTTCACGATGTTAACGCTAGACAAGAATTACTAGCTGCAGCTGTTACATCAAATACTCCAAATGCAGTACCAACCATGGGTCCGATTCTTGTTCATTGTAGCGCTGGAATAGGAAGGACTGGAACTTTTATTGTTATCGATATGATTTTGGATCAAATTAAACGCCATGGTTATTATTTTTAATTATTTCTTTTTCAACAATATTCTATGGTACATAAAAAAAAGATATGTTAATATTATTAATCATGTTAGGTCTTGATTGTGAGATTGATATTCAACGAACAATTCAAAGAGTACGTTCTCAAAGATCTGGTATGGTACAGACTGAAGCACAATATAAATTTGTTTATCTTGCGGTTTTACATTACATTGAGACTGTATCTCAAAGAATGCAAGCTGAACAGGTAATAATAATGATATTATATATTTTCTAACAGTCTATTAGGTTGTCCCATGAGTTTCTTCCTTTTTTTTGATGCGATTTCAATAGACGATATTTGTTGTTTAAGGTTGATTTACTGTGTTATATATGAACCGTTCTGCTTTATTATTTTCTTACATCTCTCAAAAAGTCTCATGCCCTCTTTTCAAAATTGTTGACATTTACTTGCAAAATAATAATCGAGGTGCATTTTTATTTCGCTTTCGGATTTATGACATTTATCACGGCGAGAATTTTTTAACGAGAGAAACAAGTAATAATCGGCTCGAAGTCATACATAGCGTGGCGCGGAAAGAACTTTTGGGACAACCTAATATTACCATCTTTTAATTTCAACAATTTTTTTCCATAGAAATCACTACAGCTAGGTCGTGAATATACTAATATTCGATTACGACGGTACTGAAAATTGATATCGCATAGTGAATAAATACGAAGGAATGAGTTGCGGGAAGCTGCTCAAATCTATGTTCTCGTCACAGAAAATTAAATGTTTAAAAAGATAGACGACTTTCACTGATATAACTTCTATCTCAGTTCGCTTATTGACATTATCAAGTAATTAAACCGATTATAATGTGAGAGGTATAATACATTGAAACTGAGAAAGCATTGTTATCAGGGAAAAAGAAGAAAAAGAAGAAATGAACGTAACGAAGATGATAATTTATTTCATTACCTAGCTCGGGTCAAAGAGCGGAACTCTCAATCAACAAAAAGAGATTAAGACTACCAAGATTCTATCCCGGATTAAAATAAAATAAAGAAAAAAGAAGAAACACAATTTTTAAATAATTAACATATATATATACATAGATGAAAGATTGGACAAAGTAATTCGTAGCTTGATATTGCCATAAATGATTTATTCGGATGAAGCCTGTTATATATAAATATATTAAAATCAAGTTACATATGTATACATTTTTCTAATAGTACAAAACACAAGAGGTATTCGATTTAATACACAAACGCGCGCGCGGAAGAATATAGAAACGATAATCCTGTACACATATCTTATAATCCTGACACACACAAATAAGATACTGAAAACGATCTTTGAAATTTTACAAAAAGAGAACTAACTAGAACAAAAAAATAAACACATAGAAACATTGCTATGAATTACAAAATTGTATGTATGTATGTATGTATGTATGTATATGTGCATACTCGCATGCACTCAAGTACTTATAGATAAACTATGTGTTAAAACATTCGAATTTTCACATGAAAATTCTTAAAAACAAAAAAAGAAAAGAAAATATATACTTGTCAGCTTCTTCACTTACTTAAAAAAAGGATTAGAAAGAAACGAGCTTATTCTTAGTCTAACGATGAATATCTTCTGAAGCTAAGGATATAAATACGGAAGTTTATATACATCGAGAGAAAAAATTAAAGAAGTCAACAAGATAAAGTGTTTGTTATGTGTGTAATTAACGAAGAAAATAAAAATTGTTCAAGGCCAAGCAAACAATGATTCGTTACGGAAATAAAACTTTGACAAAGATTATAAAGGAAAATATAATACGTTTCGTAGAATTGAAGAAAGACTAGAAAGAAGAATTAAGTATATGGGAACTTAATTAAAAAAGCTTTCTGTGAAATCTTAATCTTACGAAAATTGATCATCGCTTATAATTTCAATTGCATTAAACACACGAAAACTTAAAAACATCGTAGCCGCTTGTTAAAAATGCCGATCAACTTTATTTACGATAAAACAAATCTGCATTCTTTCAATCTTTCGTCGGTTTATGTTTAATTGTGTTTTAAAATATGAAGGTGTTCTAATTTGCAATAAGCGCTATTTGTATCGTATTCAAAAAGCGCGCAATTTTGTCCAGTGTTGCCAACTCAGTTTTTATTAATCGATAATATCGATATTTCAATTATCGATACTTAAACTAATTTTGGAACATATTTGTTTAGTTGGTATTAGTGAATTTAATTAAGTTACTTTATTGTTTGTATAATAATATTTTAATGTTTATAATTAATTAATTATCTTATAAAGTATGCATATACTTATGCGTGTATATGTATATTTTATTTGTTTGACATTATGATATAAGTAAAATCGAGTAGTTACATAAGCACGGACAATACACATAACATTCTATCAAGAATAATAATTTCTTCCTATATGCAGGAAGAAAATAATCAGATTAATAAAAATACAAACTAGCATTGCATAAACAAGACGAATTTGGTCAAGAATTTGTGTGATTAAATATATATATGATATTTGAGGCAACAAACAACTATTCACAACAGGTATTTTAATAATAATCTATTAGAGGACTTCTCAAACTTTTCCACTTAATAACTCTTTTTATTCGAGCTAATATTTGCTGATAATAAATCATAAAGAATATTGATTCAAAAAAAATGCTTTGGTATACATATGAATATAATTTTATCGTGCATAAATTTAGTTACACGACCCCACATGGAATCACACTTGAGAAGCCCTGAATTATAGAATGGCAATCTTTATTACAAAGTTTTAGTAACTTTCATTATAAATTTAATCACTTATGTTGCTATACATAATATATTAAGAGAATAATTTAAACTTTATTCGTTAAAAATTTGATGAATCTCAAATTTTTTATTAAAATTTTCGAATATTAACTTTGTAAATTAACTGATTATTTAAATAAGATAACACACACTGTGTCTTTTTAAAATGATAAGTAAATGAAGACAGTTACAAGTATTAATTTCATATATATATATATTAAAAGAAAAGAAAAAAGACAAATCTAAAGGTTTTTGTGAGTGGAAAGTTTTACAAAATCCAACTACTATTGCATAATAACTAAGACAAATTGTTTATTATTTTCATTGTATTATGGTTAGATATACTTTTTTTTTTTATTATGACTGTATTATAGATATTTTTTAATAATGGTTAGGATTGATTTTGTCATTAACTTTGTAATCCTACTCTTTTAAATCCATGTGTAAAAGTTCGCCCTGCTAAATGATAACTTAAACCAACTTAACAGGACAGAACACAAAGATGTGCTATTATGTTCAAATATCTTTTATCGCTTAGTATCTATGAACTTATAAATACATTATACGCACATATGACAATGCCGCTTAAGAATCATAATTTTCTTATTTGATTTATTGTACTTGAGTGTATGTTTGCCAAAAGTTTCAAATATGCATTCTATAGAATAAATATACGCTTTCTTTAATAGTTGTTAAAATATTAATGTCGGAAACAAATTCTTGGTAATGTATGTAAACATTTGATAGATCCTATCTTAATCTAAAAATTGCAAACAAAAATTTAAATATAAGAATTATCTTTTTTTATAATTCCAATACTAGTAACTGATTATTATTGATTCTAAATCATAAATGTATAATAACTTGATAGTTCAACGAATGAATATTTGTACATTTAAAATCTTTTTATGTGTTATATTAAAAACACAAATGTACATTTATATACTTATTAGTTATAATCTTTATAGTTTTATTTTTTAATGCAATAACACGCTTTCTTATCTTTTTTTATCAATGCATTGTTTAGCTATATATATATACATATATAAATATATATTTTTAAGTTATTCGATGAATTAAGTTAACAAAATTTATATTAAAAATTAAAAAAAAAAAATAAAATAATTACATTATTTTATAAAATATTTTATAAATTCTAATTGTCGATGCTGTAACATGTTGTAGTATGTATACGTCATTATAAGTAATACCAAATTCACGATATCATGTAAATTTGTATACAAGAGAATTTATATGAAACAAAAATATGATTCGTAAGCAAGTTGTTACTTCATAAAAATTAAATTACATTAGAAAAATAAGAAAAATACTAAATCTCTTTCTTTTATTAGATTAGATGAACTCTTTGATTAGATGAAATACATTTATTTAAAATTGTAGAATAATATGACGAATATATGAATGTAAATAAAGAGAAGAAGTTTTTAATTATTAAAACCTAATATTGGTTGAAAATAAATATCTAGGATTAAATATGTAATATGTTGAGAATGATAGTAGAAAATGTTATACTATATTTTATTTAAATAATGTTATTGTACATACAGAAACTGTCGAATGTTAATAGGTTAATATTTTAATTAATACATTAATGCCAATTATCATATATTTTTAACTATAATACGTACTATTCGCAATCTAATGTTTTCATACTACTTCCTGTTAGTTCAATGTCCTTTTAAATTGTGGCGCCATGCTCAAACATGTTAGAGAGGTTAGATTAACCTAATTATTCCTACACGTTGTTTACATGCATCGTGCATAGTGCATCGTGTTTATTTTAATCTAAACTTTTAAATTCGAATAGTTCAATTTATAAACAAATATGAGACGTTTATCAGAAGAAAGAACAAAGCTTGTGTTTGAAAAATTAAAAAAATAGTGAGTTGTTCTTCAAAAACTATAAATATTTTTTAAAATTGTTACAGGAATTACATAGGTTATTTGAATTTTCTTTTTTGTTAGTTATTTGATTATTAATTTCTTTTTTTACAGTATTGGAGAAAATATAAAAAATTTAATAGACCGACCAGACAGCTTATATTGTTTTCGTGAAAAAAAGGATAGAGTGTATTATGTTTCAGAAAAGATTTTAAAATTAGCTAATACAATTAATCCAGATAATTTAGTTAGTTTAGGTATTTGTCTTGGAAAGTTCACCAAGTCAGGCAAATTTCAATTACATATAACCGCTTTACATTATCTTGCTCCATACGCTCAAGTAAGTTTGAATAAAAATACTAAAGCGATCATCTTTTTACAGTTAATAATTATTAATTTACATTATATTTCAAGCATAAACTTTGGGTTAAATCCTCTGCGGAACAACAATTTTTATATGGACATCATGTTTTAAAATCTGGCTTGGGACGTATAACGGAAAATACAGGACAATATCAAGGTGTAGTCGTTTATTCTATGAACGATATACCTCTGGGATTTGGTGTGATGGCGAAAAGTACATTGGATTGCAAAAATGCAGATCCTATGGCAACTATCTGCTTTCATCAAGCAGATATTGGGGAATATCTTCGATCCGAGGATACATTATTATAATTCCGAGGTTTCTAAATATCATTTCATTGTATATAAATTCTAGGATGTTATATTTATATTTTATATAAAAATGAATAAGTAAAACAATTGAAAGTATAGTTAAATCTGTCAAAATTTTCTGTAATTATCATTTTATTCAGACATTGTATACCTAATTATTCATTTATAAGATAGAAATAACTACATATTCATTCCATTATGCTTTAATTTATTAAACTGCATTGTGTGTTACATTCGTCATGACTAGCAACAGTTGTAAGAGTACAAAAGATGAACAATTATTCACATTAGAAGTATTTGTGAATGACGTTACTCTTTACATTGATAAATTACAAAAAAAAGAGTTAACTGACTTAGGAATAGATTTGAAATTCATTGATTTTCCTCTAATTAGGATATTTCAAAATGAATATGAACTAACCAAAATGGAAAAGTCAAAAGAAATTCGTAGTGATGCCAAATGTCGTATTATTAATTTTAATTGCGGACAAACGCATTTATTTCCAAGGATTCCAAGTGAGTTGATAAATGCAATGAGAGCTTCTAAATTAACTTTAGATGTTTATAAAATAAAAGGTATATCGATATGTCCGTACCAAGTCCTAAAAGATCCTTTAGGCAAAGCAGAAATTCCTTTGCATGGATGTTTATGTGACCAATTTACAATGGCGACAAATGATACTAATTACATGCCAAAACCATATGTTATTAAAAATAAATTTATTCTTTTAAATGAAGAACATATGTTGTCCGGCATGGTAGCTCTTTTTTTAAGACTTCAATATATTGGTAAACATACTACTGTAGAATTCGCAATCGATGAAAAAACATTGTTATTTAAAAATCAAAATTTTCCTGATGAATACCGATGCACAAGAGTACCAATTTATGATGAAATTTTAATAAGAGCACAAGAAAGAGAAAAGAAAATTTGTTTTCCTGATGAAAAACTTGAACCAAATGAAATAGATTTACCACCTAATTCGAATTTCATTATTGATTTGACTCAAATTTGTACAATGTTGGCAGAACGAGATAAACTTCCTAAAGATCTTTTCTACTCGTTAAAAACTCAATGTATTGACAAATATGATCAAATTAACGATAAGGAAGAAGAAAACAACCCTTGGCCTTCCGAAAAATTTATTATAGATACTTCTACTTCTAATGTACATATAAGATCACACTTAGGTAATAGACCCTGTTATACTGTTGGTTGTTCTGGTGGACTTTGCATTGGAGGAAACTCAACGTGGGAAAATACAAAATATCTATAGAGAAATGTATATGTTAACATATTTATTGAATAATTAATTCCTTATATTTTTATATTAAAAATAACAATTGATTATTTTGCATGAAGAAACTTCGTCAGGAAAGAAAGGAAAACCAACCCATAGTGGATCTTTTTCTATATTCTTTAGTCTGAATAAAGAAGACTTAATATAAAGATCGTTTGGAGTGTTTTTTGCGTGCATCAAATATAAAGAATAAAAAGAAAATGATATAAAATATCTATTATTGAATAATAAATGTTTTATTCATTTATAAATTATTTCTATCTACTTCTTATATGTTTTTAAATATAGCGCAAAAATAGTTACAATTTATGTGTACGATGATTGGTTATAGATTTAAATAGCGCTATGCACATGTGTGGTGGAATACTCAACTAATTCGAATTTAAGGTAGTTTAAATTATAAACAACAAGATGAAAAGCGTTACATTGTATTAATTCTTGTATGCATGGAGCATAGCTTTGTTTTTGTATGTATGAAAAAAAGCACAATGTCAAATAAAAGACGAGCGCTATTGCGCTGTTGGATTATTCTCTACAAAATTGAGACAAAGGCCATTGTATGCTTGGGTCTTCTCTACAAAATTTTTGTTGTAACTTATTAACTGTTTGAACCCTGGCTTTCAAACAGTTAATAAGTTTTAAGCAGAAAAAAAAAAGATTAGAAAGTGAGTATATATTTTTTAGTTTCTTTTCTTAGATGTTTTGGACTTAATTATTTTTATTGTTATTGTTATGTAGAAACAACGTATGATATGTTCATCAATTTTATTTGTCTACTGCATATTGTTTCATAATCGTACCTTACTAACAATTTGGATATTGTATCATCCAGTACTATCCTCCAAATAGTGTCTAATGAATGTCAAGAAACTTTTTGTTTGTTGAATTTCAAAAATTTTTATTTTGTTGCAGTCAGTAAACGTTGAAACATGGATAGAGCAACTTTTAGAACGTATTTTACATACGTTTTTCCCATAGTAGATATTTGTAAATGGTTGAGTTACAATGATGGTATAGAATTACAAATGATTACTTATCTTTTTCAAGTTTGTTTAACAAATTGTATGCAATATTTAATTTATTTTTTTCAGATACTTGCCTCCAACGCAGAGAATTTTCAATAAAACTTGTAAAAGGTGTGTACCTAAGATATCTGACTTTTGAATTTCCTAATCGTTTTAGAGCGATTATTCTAAAAGAAAAACCAGCAGCAATAAATATTGGAGCTATTTACAATGTGCCGTAAGCAGTGTTTTATACTTTTATTAATGAAAGTATTCTTAGTATTAAAAAAAGAAAATATTTCAGGCCAAAGAAAAATGATATGTCCAAAATCTTTGTAGAAAGAGAATTAGTCTTTGATGTAGATATTTCTGACTATAACGATGTACGAACATGCTGCCAAAATAAGGACATCTGTAAAAAGTGTTGGAAATATATTGTTATTGCTTGTAAAATATTAAATAAGTTTTTAGTGGGTCAGTATTCATGCATTAGTAGCATTAAGTAAAATTAGTAAAGAATATACTCTAAGATTTGTATGTTAATTCGTTTTTTTATAGATTGTTTTGGATTTAAAAAGATACTATGGATCTTTTCTGGCAGAAGAGGGATACATTGTTGGGTTTGTGATAAACAAGCTAGGATATTGGATGAATATAATAGATCCGCAATTATAACATTTTTAAAAACCGAATTATTAAAGTGTATTCTTAAAGATGGCAAATATCACCTAAAAAAATTGATTTATTATGATAGGTATCGTAGTTGTTTGCTTTACCTCTATCGTATTTAATAATAGTTTTAAGAGATGAAAGAGATAAATGATAAAATATTTTATTTTACCTCCAATACAGATGCATGCTTTCATTTATAGAGCCTGAATTTGTACCTCTATGCATCGTAGATCAAAATCTACTTGGTACAGAGGAAGGTAAAGATTATTTCTTGGCTCTATTTCCTGATACAATACGGAAAGATGTAAAAAAAATATTTAAAGAAAATACAACCAGCTTTGATAGATGGAATGAATTTATTGAATATCATAAATTTGCGATTGACTCTGTACGTATGATTGCAATTATTTGACTTATAAAAATGATCATTCATATATGTGCTAAATTATACTTTTATACATATTTTTTTTTAGCAATTAGAGGATTGGAAACAACTGGGAGAATATGTAGATCATATAAAATTACACTACTGTGCTCCCAGATTTGACGTGAATGTAACAAAGGAGTGCAAACATCTATTGAGGTGTCCATTTTCTATACATTATGAGACAGGAAAAATATCTTTGCCATTCGATATCACTCAAATTGAGGAGTTTGATCCGACAAATTCTTTTACAATGAATCAGATAGTGGATGAAGTAGATATTATACGTCAAAAACAATCGAAAATGGAAAATTTACGTTTCAAAATGGATTACAATAAGATTTCATTAAAGAATCCTATGATTATTTTTCGTAAATTTGTAGAAGAAGTAGTTTCAGAGGAAAAATAATATTACAAATTGAAAATTATTTTTATACCATTATGAGATAGAAGTTATATGTCTTGTTATAAATTATAATACATATATTTTATATAAATTTATATTCATGTGTTTGTGTTAGATGAGAAATTGTACAGTTTATTGCGGCTTACGAAATAAATATTGTATCTCATATTAATTTGATAGGGGTATTACTGACACAAGAAAATATACCGACCAGTTTAGTTCTTCATATTATGTTCACGCTTGTCGCTAAAATCGCGTTTCGGAAGAAAGGTAGTGTACAGCTTTATATGTACGATTAAATAACAGTAACAAGATTCAGTTAAAAAAACATTATATTTATATATATTTTATATAAAATATATTAGTTTATAATAGACATACAGACATAAATGAAAAACTCTGAGTAGTTGAAAGTTTGTAATTTGTGTTAAAAATTGTTCTTTTTTGATTAAAAAATTGTTAATGGCGAATGTAAAAAAAAATTTAATCGGCATATAATTGTGAATGTTTCGATGCGTGCGCATCATTAAGGTTATGTCAGACTCGTGACGTGCGCACAGTATTCGTACGCGTCTTTTATCATTTAATTATCACTTTATTTCGTGTTGTTGGGCGTTATAATGAATTTTATTTTCTAATCTAACGAATCTTAAAAAATCGTGTGAATAATCGATTAGAAAATTGGCAAACTTATCAGGATTTCTATTTTTTTTTGCCAATTAACGAAAAAAATATTTGCACGAGAGGATCATCCATTATCTCTAAACGAATGTAAGTTTGCGTGAACATAAGTCTTTAGTTATCGAAATTATAATAGTTCAATGTTATTTAAATAGAGTACTTTAAAAATCTGTGATACCATGAGCTTAATCAATGATGTCGAATTTAATTATATCTTCATAATTAACATTTCTATTAATTCTTTATAGTTATTGAATTTTAGGAATTCATAAAATTATAATGACACAATACATCAATTAGGATTATTTGTAGTTAACTTAAAACTAAGCGATATTATAGTAAATGATAAGTATCATATTATGTATCAGATGATTTATTCGCTGGGATGTACGGTGTTTTCTTTTTTGCTAAAAACTTTTGGAATTCCTTCTATCTTAACTATATATAGATTAAAAATGCTTCTTACGATATCATTGAATATAGCGCATAGAAATGTGCAATCTGTAATCCACGTTGATACATTGATACATAAGAATACTTTAAATATTGTTTGCAAAAAAATAGGTGTCCATAATATTATGCCTATTATTAAGGATACTTTAATTGTTCTTATTAATTTATCAACTTGTAATGATTCTTTTAATATGCCATCATATATTTTAAAATGATTGCACGTGTGTTTAGTTTCTTTATTATTGTACTCCGTATTTAAAAAAGAATTATAAGAAGTATTGTATCTAATTGTATTTTTTTCTTTTAGTTTGCTCAATACATTCTGACAAATAAATTGACTGCGAACTTGTAGAACGGATGACAAGATAATTGGTAAGAAATATATTATAAACATAAGTGCAATAAAATACAACCTTACAAATTTAGTTGGTATAATGCATTTATCCATGGTACACGTGGCAGTAATTTCAAATAATTTGTCAACATCTTCATAATTTTCATTAACAATTGTCGTCATTTCTGTTGCAGAAACATTAGTTTCGATATTATAATACCGCAGTCCATTTCTTTTAGTTTTGATTCCTTTCTTTTTATTTGCTATAGAGGTACTATTTTTTATTCGTGAAACAATATCCAAAAGAATTTGTTCTTTAGTTGGTAACAAAGTTTGTTCTGCCCTGTTTCTATCATTTACTAATGAGTTAGTTTCATTTTTCTTATTATTAAGATCATTATCTTGAGATAAGTTCTTATTCATTTTATTTTTGTCAAATGAATTGAAGGGAATCAAAGAAGCGTTCCATGGTAGTAGTAATTTTTTAATCTGTTCTTCGAATCTCTCATCTTTTATTTGAAAATCATTTTTGTGTTCGACAAAGATATCAGACCAATTATAAGAAGTTAAATTGTCTACTGTTACCCATTCCTTAGAATTTGTTTCAAGATCAGTCTTATTAATGTCATTTATGGTATTATTTATATCTATGTTATCTTCTATGGGTAATAAGTTTTTATTCTCCAAGTCATTTGTATTATTTAATGCTGAATTCATAATATCATATATTTTGGAGATTATTTCATTTTCTGTTACGTTAAGATCATACAATTGTATAGAACTTAAATTACTGACATAATCATTGTAGACTGGTATTGAAATAGTTGAATATTCGTGAGAAACATTATGTTTCGTGTCTTCATTTGTTTCAAAACAATTATAAAACGAGAAAGGAGATTCGTACATGCACTTAATATTTTCAGTTTGCGACATTATTCCAACGTTTTGATAATCTGCAAAATATAAAATTCCGGTAGTAACAATTGGTATCAACCATTGACTCAATACACTCATTCCAACAATGCGTTTATTTATTGCTGAGATGTTTTTTAATTTTGTATCGTGAAAAAATTGTGGAATCATTTCTTTCATTTTCATAGTAGTTGGATTTTTGTACATATCTTTTGATTTTATTAATTCTTCATTTTTAGAACTCGTATCATTTATGTCTATAACTTCAATGTTATGATGTTCTGAATTATTAATATTATCAGACATTCTTATTGGATTTTCTTCCATTTTTACTTCTGATTGGAAATTATTATTGTATTTATCATTGATAAATGTAGCACTTAAATTACATTGTATAGAAAATATTATTAACGATATAAATGCATTTGTAAAAGGCATTAGGAACATAGCATTATGCATTAATAGATTTTTAATATTGCATATCGTCAAATCAGAATAATTTATGTCAGTTAAGTTATATGTATCATAAAATTGCAAGAATGTGTCTGAATATTTATCTTTAATATTTATATTTAACATTCGCTTACTTTTATAATAATAATTAGTACTGGCAGTCATATCTGCATGATTTATGAGTAGTACTATTGCTGTAACTACTGAATTTAATATGTTAGATGTTGACAAGATATAAAATGAAGATACCTTTTGACACTTAAACTTCTTTTTAATAAGAATCACTAATATAATAAAATTGAAGAACAGTAGCACGTATCCTGCTATGCCAATTGTTATGATGTTCATTTTGTCACTCTATCAAAACTATATTTTTTATACAATTAAATTGTTCTTGAAAAATAATTGTTTGTTGTATATAAAACTCTTGGTTGGTTACTGTCAGGAAAAGAATTTCTAGACTGTAACTAACTTGTTCAACTACTGTTAGAGCAATTGCATGTGGGTGACGAATATGAGGGTCTGATATTAGATAATACATTGAAGCAAAGATATGATGTTCGTAATAAATAGTATATTTTTACACCAACTAAAAATCATTTCTATAAATACTATTTTATGATGTAATATACAATATTTGAATTATATGCTTAATTGTACCATGGAAATGTAATACCATTAATAATTGTCTTATTAAGCGTAATATTAATACATTATTTGATTTGTTTTTAGTATTTGATTTGTAGTTATCATGTCTATTCGTCGGAGAACTGATTCCTTTGCAATTCAACGTATATGGGATGCCATAAAAATAACAGTACATCAAAGAAGTTTACCTAGCAATGAACGCATGGTACGACACTTGGCACGTGTTTATGGAATTACCGAACAACAAGCTCAAGAAGAATTGAACAAAGCTGTCGAAGATAAACTTGTAATTTTAAAAAGAGTACCATCGAAGGCAGGAATAGAACAAGAAAGTTACAGATTACCAATAGAACCACCAGAAAAAACTGATCATGATTGGTATTGTTATAAATGTCAAAAAGCTGGCTTGGTAGAATCCTGTCAAAAATGTTATAGAGTATATCATCCCAATTGTCATGTGCCTACAAATACAAAAGTAAAAATGTGCGATTTTTGTGAGGTGAATATAAAAAAATCTTAATAATATTTTTAGATACAACATTTTTAATATACAATTAATAACATAAATGTAAATATGTTTCCAGAAATTAGATACCGACACATATTCAGACAAATCTGATCTCAATCATATACTTACTTTCACATGTGGTCATTTAAAAGCAAAGTTACCACTAGAAATAACAAATCGTACTATAGTCTTTAATAACGATCTCATTGTTGTACCAACAAGCAACTTTTCTGGACCTACTTGGATAAGTGAAGGTGAAGATGCATGGCGTCCTGGTTTTCTTATAAAAAATCATATGGATTTGGCTATTATGGATTCTAAAATAAATAAGAAAGAGTACAACAATTTAACAGAGTTTCAAGCAGATGCACACAATATTCTTCATAACATTCTTTTATATCATGGAGGTAAAATATTAAACTCTTAAAAGTTATACGTTATATATATATAGTACGTACTCTAATATATATATATATTGTGAAATGTTATAGCTCACAGTATAATTGGAGAAATGGGCAACACAATGTATCAAGATTGCTGTTACGATCTTCAAGAAATTCGTCGGTGTGCAGACTGTTACCGAATATCAAATGAGAAATCGGAGAAAATGTGGTTCTGTATACCATGCAACCCACCGCATCAACTTGTTTATGCTAAACAAAAAGGATATCCTTACTGGCCAGCTAAAGTTATGCAAATTAATGGCAATGTCTACGATGTTCGATTCTTTGGAGGGCATCACATGCGGGCTAACATAGAGAAAGTTTTTATTCGGCCAATTAGTGTCAGCTTACAATCTTTACAGGTAAATATACTCGTTGCGGTATCTTGGGATTTTACACGCGAAGCTGTTACGCGACCACTTTGAAAATTCTCGGTTTAGGTTACATGCAGTTAACAGTCTATTATATCACTGACTTGATAGGAGAGAACAGTTGAGGGAAAACTAATTTAAAAAAATTGTTGTTGCACTTAGATATATAACTATCTTAACAACGAATTCTTGCATAGCCTTCGGAAAAGGGCAAGTGGAAAGAAATGAAGGTAATATGCCTATAAGAAAACGCAAATAGAAAATGCGAGTAATTCTCCTATCATTGCACTTCAATTTAAATTTTGCAATGATCTATTTCTTTCATACCATTTACTATTATTATTTCATAGATAAAGAGATCGACAGCATGGAACAGAGCTTTCGAAGAATTGAAACATCATCAACACTTACTACAAAAGTCCGGGAAGGCTGTAGAAGAAATAGATACTGGCAGTGACTATGAGGGACCCAAAGCTGCTAAAATTGGACGCACAGATACAGGAAGTTTGAAAGAAACTACTCTCAAAAGTAATCCAACTAAACAGATTATAAAAGATTTAAGAGTTAAAGTTGAACGTTTAAGTACTGATGGTCATGCAGACTTAATGGCGTCTCGAGAGACTGCAGAAAATAAATCTCCGAAAAGTAAAGCTGGAAGTGAAGAAAGAACGGTACCACATTTAGCAGTAGCGGAGGATGAACCCACAAGAGAAATATCCAGTACGTGTCCACAAGGTTTAAAAAAGGAAGGATCTCAAGAAGATATGGTAACATCTAGTTCTCAAGAACCAAGATCCAAATGTGTTCTCGTGCAAACGGAACAAATTCAAACAGAAGTGATACCAGCGAAGGTATATTATCATTTAATGCGTTAAAATGTGCAATAATATAACACATATTCTGAAATATATTTCTCTTTGTCATATATATAAAATATTGCAGATTAAAAGGGAACGTAGAACATCCGAACAACCTATAACAACAGCATTAGAAAAATTACGAAGAGAATTGGAACTTGATAAATGCAGAGAAATGGAGAGACTTCAAGCAGAACATGCTAAAGAGTTGAGACAACTAACTGAGAGACATCAACAGATTATATCCGAAATTAAAAAGAAACAATGGGTATTTATTTTACACATATATGAACAGTTACTTATAATATTTACAAATAGAAAAATAATAATATATTCTGCATGTATATTTTCATTGCAGTGTTACAACTGTGAAGCAGAAGCAATATATCATTGCTGTTGGAACACAGCTTACTGCAGTACAGATTGCCAACAAGTACATTGGCAACGCGAACACAAAAGAGTTTGTCGGCGTAAACGTTAATTAATTATAAGGTGCAATAAATCTTATAATAATATGATTTTATTATAGAATAAGAAACATAAGAAACTGTATGTTTCTTCTTTTCTTTTTGTATTTTATTTTTGAATGGGAAAAAAAAGTAAAATACAGTAATGTATATATTCGTAACACTAATTCATCGTTTCTTTCTAGAGATTTCTTAGATGAAAGTATTTTTTAAGTATAAATTTATATTTTTCAATCGTGCTATATAATATGTAACAATTTAATTTATTCAATGTTTTGTTTAGTTATTAATAATCAATTTATATAATTGTTTTTTTTATATTACAAAACATATACGATTACTAATTTCAAATTAAAATCATATGACTAATGATCTTATAGAAATGTTAACGTATATCAAAGAAAGTGTTTTTAATTATAAAATGAATTTATTATTTATACTTTCATTTAAGTATTTAATCTAATGGTCAATCAATTATATTAGATTTACGATTTTATTTGTTTTGGAATATTTCTTATATTATTATGTTAACAATTTTTAAATCACACAATATTAAGTAATTAATAAGTATATTTAATAAGTCACAAGGTTTGTGAATAAAAAAAAGTAGTGATACTTTAATCAAGTGAAAAAATAGTATGTGCGCACAAAAGCAAATTACAACATACTAGTCCAATATTTTTACTCATTCCACTAATATTTTTCTTAGTAATTATAGATCATTCTTAGGAAGTCCTTTTATTTAATTTTATTTTATTATATAACTTCTATATATATTTGTATTAATATTCATTGAATTTATATATTAGAGTTTAGGTTGAATAAATAAATAAATTAAAAAGTTGTAGATTTTAATTATATAAGACGTAATATAATTCGTATTTATATATAATTTTTTTTTTCTTTTTTGAAATTACATCGCCATTTCAGAATAAACAAGTTATTAATAAATAATTTAAATAATAAGTATAATATTTTGAAAATAAGATATATTCTAATAAAAATGTAAATGGAATATTATTTTAAAGATCGTATTGAAAATATATATAATACATATAGACAGTAAAGTATAAAGGTATATTGATATATAAGATACGATTAAAAAGAATCTAGGTACTTTGATTAGCTTTAACTTCTTTACCAACTACTTCTAAAGCCATTTGACCTTTTTCTATGGTCTCTGTTACTTGCACATAACTTGTTGCATCTATGGTATTTAAGGAAAACTTTTCTAACAATTGTAATTCAGATGAATCCAATTTTTCTCCGAGTTGCCTCAAAGCGCTTAGTACTTCAGCACGTAACCGATCAGCAACATCCTTATTTAATTTTCCAAGTTTATTATCTCGTTCTATTTGAGTAAGACGTTCTCTAAGTTGATCTGGTTCACGCTTACCAAACATTCTAATTACTGCAGGAGTTTTAAAAGCTGCGCTGATTGCTGCTTGAGTTGCCTACATCGTATAAATTATGTTAGATTTTATTTTACATATTGGATTATGATTTATTTAGATCAAATATCTTTATATACCAATTGCATTGCTCCAAACTGATTGATTAAAGTCATGTTTCCGGAAATCATTCTTTGTAACGATTCATTTAATTCACGTAGTTGTTCCATGGTTTCTTCTTTCGTTTCTTCGTATTCCTCATTAGTCATTTCATCTCTGTGAGAAAAATATTAATAATATAAATATTTTATTTATTCATAAATAATCATTCACCATCTTCTTACTTGCATTCTTCAAGATCCTCTAATTGTTGAACTAATCTATCAAGTTGATCTTCCAAATTTTGTTTCAATCTTTCAGTTTCCGCTTTACCGTGAGAGCTCATTATTTATATTATATATTAACTTTTTCACTGATATTATAAATAATATAAAATCGTTATGTATATATATATATTTAAGTTACTGCACTTTTATTTAGAAATGAAGCAGTGTGTATTATAGCAATTACTTTTATCCATATTGTTTATTCATTAAAAATCTTATGCATGTTCAAACGAAGCATATATTATCTTAATATACTGCTGTTTTTTTATGTACATCTCTTATGTAAATTAAATGTTATTATTTTATTTTTTACAGAAACGCATCAGCATGAGGTTATTACATCGGATTTGTTTACATCACTCTGTAGATGTCACTAATGCTCTTTGGGTATTTAAATTTGAAACGTAAGAAAGCGGGAAAGACAGAAGACTTTTAAATGATAAAAGAATATTGTTAAAAAATCAATACGAATATAATTAAAATCAAATAAGTGTGGAATTTTTTAAACAATCATTTCTTTGCACACGTATAGCATTCATTTTTACACTACTTTTTTTCCTTTTCACACGAGCCTCTTTTGTCACCTTTTGTCAATTATTTGCATGTATGTTCTTTATTATATTCTTGTATTATGTTTATTTTATTAATGTTACAATATCCTCAGAAAACAATGATTTGTTGAGCTTCAAGGAAATTCATTTTAGACATAAACAACTTAAATTACGTACTGCAACGGAACTGATAGATCAAAATCATTAGTTAAGGAACAATTTGATCTCATTACTTTACTTAATCAAACTTATAAAAATAACATCTTACATAAGATTCAAATATATAAAACACAGTAGCTCGTATTTGCTCTAGCAAACGTAATCATGTTGTTCCTTGCTTCTTTCCTGTTCTTATTTCTTTTCTTTGCAAGTAAATATTTGACATCAGCGTTGTCCAACTTCTCTTAGTTCGCGAATTATTACTTCTTTTGTAAACTTTTCAGGGACTAAGGAAGAGTAGATATACGTTCCTTTTTATTTTAATTATTAATTTAATTAAGCATTAAACACAAAAATTAATTTACTTCGCGAGCCGCCAGTTGGACAACGCTGTTTTACTTACTTGTTTTTTAAGTATTATCTCTAAAGTAAATAATTGTTATATTTACAGATTTATCAAAAAGTTCAAGCAATGATATGCAACGCCATTTAACACCGGATAAGTCTCAAGGATTCTTTTTAGCAGAAGTACTTTCAGATATTCTCGTTAATCCAATGGGTACAATTCAAGATGATCGATCAATTATAAATAACATTTTCGATCCGAACTTAATATCCGAAGATGTTACATTTGAGCTCTATACGAAGAACAATCCTGAAAATGCATTTTTATTAAAAATAGATGATGCAACAGGGCTAAGAGAATCTTCGTTTGATTCTGACAATCCTACAAAGATACTCATTCATGGGTGGACTGACAGTACTAATACTTATTGGTTGCAAGATTTTAGACAAAATTACTTAATAGTGGGTAATTATAATGTTATTAGTGTCAACTGGTTCCCAGCATCATTGAAAGAGTACTGGATTGCTGCTAAATTAACTCGCCAGGTTTGTATGAAACTTATGAATCTGTATGGAAAAAAAATCATTAGTTTCTACAATTCTGAATGGATGTATTCTGGATACAGGTCGGCAAATACATAGCAAAAATGTTGGATTTTCTTGTCTCACAAGCTGGTCTCTCCTTGAACGATGTGCATATATTAGGACATAGTTTAGGAGCTCACGTTGCTGGATTTGCTGGGATGGAAGTATCTGGAACAATTGGAAGAATAACTGGAATGGATCCAGCCCGACCAGGTTTCGAATCTTCGAGTTTGAACGATTTAAGAATTCGTTTGGATTCTAGAGATGCCAAATTTGTGGATATCATACACACTTGTGCAGGAACGCTTGGTTTCATCAGATCAATTGGTCATGCTGATTTCTATCCGAATGGAGGAACATTTAGGCAGCCTGGATGTCCAATTTTCTCAGCTCGTAAGTGATCTTAAATTAAAATCTTTAATACTTGTTAATATTTTCTTTTTATAAATGTTAATTAATGGTTGTTGTTATCAGAATACTGTAGTCATGCTAGAGCTCACGATCTGATGGGCGAATCTATTATTAATCCGTTAGCTTTCGGTACTTTTCAATGCAATAGTTGGATAGAATTCAAAGGAAAAAAATGCAAGAATAATTCGACCATGGTATTTATGGGGGAAAATGTTAACTGGAATGCTCGTGGTTCATTTTTCTTGGAAACCAATGCACAACCACCGTTTGGTAAAGGTGTTATTTAAAAAGGTAGAACATCGAGAAAAGTGTTTATTTGTTAAGGTGGTACAAATATATGTATATTTAAGTAATATGTCTACAATTGTGGTACAGGGAACCACTGGTTGGAAAATAATTCTCATTACGAGATAAATGAAATCATTTATATCGTTTCATTGACAATTTGATCCTCTCCCGAAGGTTTTTCTATTTCATCTCCAAAACGCATCCTATATTTCCTACGAACGATGTCCCATTCAACGACGTTGTCAATTTTCGCCATCTGAATTAAAGATGATTGGCTTTGAAAAGGACTCAAATTTAGTAGACCGAAATCAATGTCGTTCTTGTTGCGATCCGATGAAAATATTTTATTATTCTGTAGAGAAAGAAATTTCGTTAGATTCACAACACCTTAAAGTTTCTCTTATTTCTTCAATTTCATTATTAAAACGTACACGAAAAAATGAATTTTTTGAGAGTGTACGATTCCTCACTAATCCATGCATCACACTCATTTTCTTCCTTTTATCTGCCTTCTTTTTACACATCTTTACAAGATATATTATCCACGTGGAGAAAAGATTCAACGGCGAGGGTGCAGTTCGCGTTCTCGGAGAAAGAAAAGAAAAAAAATAATTAAAAGGTGAAGCTTGTTATTATTCCTCATAGAGAATACTTACCTTTGCATTTTACGTATAAGTTTACTGAGTCCGTATTTCCATTCAATATCACTTTGCGATTGGATACTTTGATAAGTGTCACTCATCATAGCAATTAGAAGATTGATCAGGACAACAACGGTGACGAGCATGTATAGAGAGAATGATACCTGAATAGTTTAAACGTTTATTAAATTAAATTATTAAATTAAAAGCACACGATTTTTTTTTACGATAAATTTGTCTTTGTAAAAGCATCAACCTTGAATAGATATATCGTCCATTTTGGTTGCAAATGTTGCCTCCCTGTAATCGTGAAATCGTCGGTATCCTTTTGCCCAAAGATCGCGAAGAAAAGATTTTCCGTTATTTCGATGGGATTGACTTCGACTGAAAAAATAAATTTATGTTATAGAATTGTTCTCATTAACATGAACGCAAAGAGAAATATTTCTCGCAGCGATTCTATGTCTACTGAAATCCTACTTTCCTAATTTCTTAATGATCTAAGCGTTGATTTATCGCATAATGATTCATTGATTCATATCGATCGTACTGATTGATTTCATTTTTTTTTTTATCGAATATCATTCATTCGTAATCATTTGATTGATCGTTCTAATAAACCTAAATAACATGCGATGATATGTGTAAAAAGAAATGTTAATTAGATCGAAGTAAAGACATAAGAGAGTTATGTTAAAAACATATTCATGAATCATAAAACGTTTAAATGCATGAAGTGACATTAAAAAATGTGAGCACAATGATCAATTAGCAGCTTTGAGAACAATATAACTACTTACATACATTCTATATAGTAATTAGATAAACGTAGACACATCGCATGTGCATGATGAAATGAAAATTCTTTTGAGTTCTTTGTGGGGGGGGGGGTTGTAGGAGAGGAGGCATGATTGAATACCAGTTGACAAGCTTCGAAATTCGCATGCCACATCGAGAGTACATTACGCTACGTGAAAAAAATCTACAGGCAAGTTTGTAACACTCATAATTGTTCAATGGCACGATTAGGATGCATTCTAATTACGTGACCAATTTTAACAACAAGAATCGTTTTTTAAACAATCACTTCTTGCGAGTAACGTCAGCACATTACAGTGCATGCATTACTACTACGCAATTACATTTTTATGCAGCCGTATAATTCTACCTTCAAATACAAATAGATCGATTATAAAATTCATAACAGATAGAGAGAGATAAAATACGTGTGAAATACGTAGATTACATATTACATTTGATTGACTAACCGTAACACATAACGTGAAGTGGTTCCCTAAGCAGACAGGTATTTCCATGGTAGCCTCTAAAATATGTTACACGATTAGATCGTGGATCGACGTGGGATTAGGTCGAGCAACGCAAATACAAATCGAGATCTAATCGTTTATTTGGAAAATAAAATGATCTACGTCTTATAGTTCTTATAAACTATAAAGAGTACAAATAATTATCTAGTCGATCAGAGATTAATTAAAATTTCCTCTTCACTTGATCAGGCATTTGGTGAGCCAGACGTTTCGTTTCTAGTTGGACCAGTGGACGATGGTTCCTCAAAGGCAGCTAAAAGATCCGTTTCTACAGCTTCTTTAGCTTCTTCGGCAACTTTCTCAACATTGTCACCATAGAGATCACGATATTTTCGTCTAACTACGTCCCAGTCGACAACATTGTCAATTCTAATCGCATTGTTGAAAGATAATTGACTTCCCAATGGACTCAAGTGTACCACAGACAAAGCAACGCTGTCCTTGTGCATTACTTGAGTCTTCTTCACTTTCGATAACCACTTTGCTCCCATTCTCGAACGTGGTGACATTCTAGTCCTTTGCAAGCCCATCATATGCATCAAGGATGGCCTTTGCTTTTTCGCCATACGTTTTTTGCAGACTTTGAAGAAGTATGTTAGCCAAGTAGTTAAAAGGTTTAGGGGAGACGGCGCCGTAGTTGTCCTATTTCGTCAAGAAAGATAATCAATTTTGGTGTAATATTGGCTTGGCAATTAAGTGAGTGCGGATTTTTTGGTTGGCAACTAAGTGAGTATGGTTACTTTAATAAAAACCTACAGGTCCCCTCCTTAATCTTTCTCATTTTCATTCCTACTTTTAAAGAGGAAGGATCACTTAGTTGCTAACCCAACAGTGTGTATCATACCTTACGATTTAAGGAACGAATGATTGAATGAATGAACGAATGAACGAACGAATGAATGAATGATAGAGAAACTCAACTAACGGAGCTAAGTTTAAACTCGCTATCGTTACCTGTGCATATTTCTAACGAGTTTGCTCAATCCGTATTTCCATTCGATATCAGATTGAGCCTGTATCCGTTGATAAGTGTCGCTCATCATGGCGATCAGGAGGTTTATCAACACGACCACCGATACCAACATGTAAATTCCGAAGGCGAGCTTGAATAGGACCGTGGTCCATTCGGGTTGATAAGGTTCGACTTTGAACTGCTCATGAGTTGTCTGTCCGAAGATGGCGAAGAACAATAATTCAACTGCTAGTATCGGGTTCATCCTGACTGGAAATACGTCCCAACAAAATATCTGATAAGACAAATCGACGCGAGAAATAAATAAGCTTGCATCATACAGATAATTAAAAAAACATTCTCTTGCATTGTTTACTCCCTGACATGTCGTGTTTCATGCCAGTGCCGGCTAACAATTGTTTAAGATTATTTTGATGATGATTTGTTAGTCGTTCTAAGGACCTACGTTTTTTTTTTCTTTTTTTTTTACGTCAGTGCATTCACACACTATAGGCTCCTTTCGTTCCTGCCGAATACATGAGACAAAATCAATCTGCACGTAACAATTTTTTGGACATGCATTATATGTTAAACAGATGAGAGATAAGACCTAAATTTCGTATAATTTTTTTTTATATTACTTCGCGGAAAAATCGTCAAAGATGTTCATTTAAGGATATGTTCCTGTGCCACATACAATGAGATGTCGAGTTAGTGTAGATGATTCGATGCAAACGATCTCAAACGCACGTTTTTGGCCATGCTGACTGAGTAGGACGCAATCCCAAACCCGTAAAAATAAAAGTGACATTTATTTGGTATAAATACAGGCACATGTAGGCTACGTAACGTAGACTTACTTAGCTTCTAAAATCATATAGTCGATCATCCTTCGAAAAGCCTCTCCTTTTGTCTCTTTCTTTCTCTCTCTCTCTCTCTCTCTCTCTCTTTCTTCTTTTTTATATTTTTGTTTGTTTCTTAGTCAGCTACATAGACCTAAAATTATTATCTTAAATTTTCACGCTCGCGAGAAATCACATTTATATAGGTGATGTGGTAGTCATCGTAGTTGGAATCATCGAAGGATTTGAAACAGTAGGTCCATAATCGTCCTCGTTATCATTCTCGTTATCCTTGTCGTCCTTTTCTTTATCTTCTTCCTTTTCAGGCTCGTTTCCGGTCAAAGCAAGATACTTTTTTCTTATCGAGTCCCAATCAACGACACTCTCGATTCTGGTAGCACTGTTAAATGACAATTGACTTCCTAACGGACTCAAATGAACTACCGAAAGTGCCACACTGTCTTTAGGTCGAACCTGTCCCTTCTTGACTTTGGCCAACCACTTTGCACCCATCTTGGATCTTGGGGACAATCGACCGGTACGTTGAAGACCCATCATGTGGACCAGTGATGGTCGTTTGCGTTTAGCTGCACGTTGTTTGCATACCTTGATGAAGTACACGATCCAGGTTGTTAACAAGTTTAACGGGGATGGAGCTGTGGTCGTTCTGCAACATGGAAATGTGTTGTCAACGTGTTCCAACGTTACCAATCCTGACTCAATGGATTGTAATCAAAAAAACAAAAGATCTATATATCATCGTTCTAGGCTAGATTTGATCAGGTAAATGAAGTTAAAGTTATCTCAGTTCTTGTTTCGATAAGAGAGATTAAAAACCTTAATTTAAATAACAAAAAGAAGATGTAAGGCTTACCTGTGCATATTACGGATCAATTTACTCAGACCGTATTTCCATTCAATATCTGATTGTGCCTGTATCCGTTGATAGGTGTCACTCATCATGGCGATAAGGAGATTAATTAACACCACTACCGAGACCAACATGTACACGCCAAAGGTCAGCTTAAAGAGGACCGAGGTCCAGTCCGGCTGATTGGCCTCAACTTTGAGCTCGCTGTGTGTTGTTTGGCCGAAGACAGCGAAGAATAGATACTCGAAGGCAAGTATAGGACTCATCTTTACTGGAATTCGAGGTACACAGAGACATCTTTGATTTTCTTTATCTTTTCTTTTCGCAGTCTTTCATTTCGCTTGCTTTTTCGTGCCATGGCAGGCTGGTGGCTACTGAGGTGGTACTCACTACGAATTGACTCGCGTGTTTTTTTTTTTTTTGTTTAACCATAACGAATACATACACGAATGAACGAACGAACGAACAAACATGCTCATGCTTTTTGTTTATACGGACTGTGGTGGTCATGCTCGGGCTGAATATAACACGTTGAGAGTGCATGCCAAATTTTATATTGATTAAATTGTTTTTTTTTTCCCTGGATATACTTGTATATGCTTTCTTCTTCTCTACGCATAGCCATGCGTCCACGTGTATTGGTTTTTTTTTTTCGATAACGTTATAATATATTTTTTAGAATATTTTATCTATCGATTCGTTCTAAATCGACGGAAAGATATTATATTGCAAGCCCCGTGCACAAGGAACTTCAGCTAAAATCGAAGATGCTTCAAGATGCAGAGATCCATTTTGGAAATGTCTTTTAAACACAGAGCCAGGCCGCCACACTTCGATCAAATCCCATCGATTCTTTCGATTTTAAGGTAAAAATACCTTTCTCTAGATGATCCTCCCTCCTCACACTTCCTGCGTTTTTGAATAATGGAAAACGCGTGCCGGAATACACCACGATATATAGACACGTGTTTGGTATTTGGCTTTGCTGTGAGTGAAAGTATGCAACATGCAAATTATTAGATCATTTTTTAGCATCCGCATCATCCAAAAAATCTCATTTGATATGACGTAGAGAGATCATGGATGCTTGGTTGATTCTTGGCTTTTCAAAATGATTCAAATTATGTTATGATGCGATGAAGAAATGCATGCAAATTGTTTTGTTTTTTTTTCTTTTTTTTTTTTTTCATAAAATTGCCTTTTATCAATAATGTTCAACGTACCCAGTATTAGTCAACAATTCGCCTTCGACAAAATCGAGGATAGTCGTAGTACAACACTTGGGAGAGGGTTTTTTATTTTCTTTTTTTTTTGTTCCCTCTCCAAACGTAGGATCTAACACATGATCTAAGAATAATGATAGTTTTTATATTTTTCAAAATATTCGTTCCCCCTTGCCATTTCTTTTCGTTCGTCATTATAATTATTATCTTTATAATTAAGATAAATCGTAAAACGCGAATACGGTTAGACGAAAAAACGCGTTGTATTATATTATATTATAAAAAACGTATGAACACAGACAATCGTGGGAAAGAAAAAAGGGTTAGGGGGGGGGAAAGAGAGAGAGGGGGTTTGATTGGTTGCAAATAACACGGCACATAGAAAATTGGCGTTCCGACGACATGCCGACAGTGAATTAGCTCTGAATTGTTTATCGTGATTTACATATAAAACGTTACGCTGCGTTTCGGAAGTACTTTTTGCATCTTTATATATATATATTTGTATATGCATTTATATTTCAAACTTAAATAGTTTTTCTTTTTCTTACTCGTTAAAGTTACAGTTCAAATAATTTTCCTTTTTTTTTTTATTAAACGAGAATGTTTGCGTGAGTGTGTTGGGAATTAGATATTAGAAAATAAAAAATAGTAGGATAATCTTGTCGTCCTGCGAAAGTACACGAAACAGAGAACAAGAAGAAGAAGAAGTAGGAAAAAAAGAAAAATAATAAATATTAAAAAAGTGTCCCTGTCCGAATCGCAGCGAAAATGCACGGATGGAAAACACAGTTCTCGTCGATTTTGCAGAATATTGCTGTTATCAGGCAACAGTCTTGGCAGGCAGCACACACACAGACATAATTGCGTACATCGGTCAAGATGCACAATGCAGAAACGGGACGACACTGACATCGAGCGTGTCCTGCATTCCAAATTTTTTGCGCGCGTGCCACTTTTTTGCAGTTTTTTTTTGCTTTTTGCTTATTTTTTTTTTGCTTTTATTTTTTTTTTCTCATAATATATCATCGTTCTCAATTTGTTGCTTTGTCATTCCTGTCGATCTGTCAAAACTTACTCTCTTTGGAGTTATCGTCACAACATTCATTCTTTTTCCTGAAGCGGCCGAAGTGACGAGGATTCGCAGCCGCTGATTGCGTCTCCGTTATCCATTCCGACGTTATATTCACCGACAAATCTATCATTGCAATTTTGTTCCAATTACGCCATTGTCTCGTCTCAAATGAACATTATTTCGACCATTCCTATTATTTTTTCATTCACAAACGTATAATATTTTATTTAAGAGTTATAATCAGTTATAGCCTCTGAAAAGTTTCATCCCTCCCCAGTTTAATTTTTTACCCCCATTTGTGGTGGTATATTTATATATATATATAAATATATACACGCGTAAAGTATAGATACATTTTGATATGTTTTGCATATTTCACGGATCAGAGAGAAATCATCGATTGTAACAATCGAATGAAATTTCTAAATATAATAATTATCGATAAAGTAAAAAAAAATTGATAAGTGAACTACGATTACCAGGAAGCACGGATGATCTATCTGCTACAGAAAAATAGTGTCTTTTGCTTAATTTCGTTAATTCGGACGTACCAATCGACGTACGAATGAGAATAAAAGCACTCGCTACGTCCTAGTAAAATAGTTCTGTATTTTATGCTCTATTTTTCTTTTTCTTTTTTTTTTTGTTTTGTTTGCTTGCTCTTTGTTATTTCGATTAATCAATTTAAATTGGCCTTTCAAGCAATTTTCATTTCTAAAATCTAAAACCTACGTTAACATCTACGCCGCTCTACCATCTATATATGCGATTCATATTAACGGATATATAAGAAAAGAATAATTATGATAAATAAATTTGTAACTTCGGCAAAAAATCTTAAATAGAGCGAATATAAGATAAAGGAAACGCTTTAGGGAGCTGGCTCGGATCAATCACGAAGCCAGTCATCATATTAATTATATTTAAACTTACCGTCGTGAAATGCACCCTTCTTTTCCCTGTCCTTTTGAGAAGCTTCCTGAAGATTTGCATGATTCATGAACGCTTGATTGAGAGCTACGAAGTGCATCGAGAATCCAAAGACGAAGATAGCCAATACTGCGAGAAACCTGGCGAGATCCTTCATGAGATTGCCGATTATGATGGCCCATGGTCCAAAGAGATGATGGAAAGATAAGAAGTCCAGGATTTGAACGCAAGCTAACAGGAAACTCAATGCGAACAGTTGGTTTCTTAGATAGAGCAACGTTGGCCAATAGATACGTTTGATTATCACAAATCCCATAAGATGAAAGGCCACACCGAAGATACCGAAGAGAAGTACTGCCAGTTTGATCCATCCAAGACCACTTTTATCACTTGGATTGGTCAGTTCGAATAATAAAAGACCCGATAGCATCACCAAAAGACACCACTCGTACCAATAAGGTAAAAGATTTGCTCTTACGACTGGATATATCGGGGTTATTCCAACCAGCATCAGAAAAAGCATCAAATAAATGTGAGACGTCAGATAGGACATGAATTTGATGATGGGTACGTTGTTGTACTTGTGACCAAGTGGCAAAGCAAAGACTACCCATACTGGTGGACAGATCAGGAAAGCTATGAAAAGGAGGATCGTTCTGAAAGCGTTCCAGTTTAGGCTACCTTGCCAAAGTTCTTGAAGATAACGTTGCACAACTGTATGAGCTATCACCTCCTTCTGTTCGTTTTCAATCAACACATCCAAAAATTCCACGTTCCTTCGATCCATCGACGTTAAAATTCTACCAGCCGAGTCAGCACCTGCTGCGAGTGCAAGTAATTCTGTTGCCATAGCTTCGCATTGTTTTCCAGCTGCTATCAAATCTTTAGCTCGTTCCTTTTCCTTCTCGGATAATTTCATATAAATGTTAGAAAGTTTGGCTGCGGTGTCTACGGGTGCTGGAGATACCAGAACGAATTCCTCTATAGGCTTGTTGTTGTTACTTTTACTGCAAACCATCATGTTGTAGACGAACTAAAAAAAGAAAAAGAAAAAGAAAAAGAAAAAAAAAAGAAAAACATTTTGCAGATATAAACGAAATGAAATGCAAGAAGAATTAATATTAATTGGATCTCTCGATAACTCGTTGATAACATACGTAATTTGAATTTAATAACATTTTGTAAGATTTCTTTTCTTCGAGTTATAAGAAAGTATATTCGATAAAAGGTCATAAATGCAATTCCATGTCGCGTGTACGAGTCGCGTTAAGTGCTAAGTTATTACTTTGAAATATCGATTTTTAGCCAATGAGAAAAGTTTTCTTAAAAAGATAAGCGTTAAGGAGGGTATAATCAGGGTGTGGCTTTAACATCATTTTATCACATTGGCCTTGTTAAAACGGAGAAAAACTTTACCCTTCTGTCTTCCATGAGAGCATAAGTGTCGTGTTCCTTTTCCATTAGATACTTTAAAACGTCGTTATGGCCTTCGGAAGCAGCGAACCAAATAGGAGCACAGCCAAGGTTTGTTTCGCTTTTCGGCGAAGCTCCACTTTCGACGAGTAGTTTGACAACCTCGAGGTAACCAGCACGTGCAGCACAGTGCAATGGGGTCCAACCATTCTTATCTGTCGCATTTATTTCCGCTCCTTGACCCAACAACACTTCGACCATTTGATAATGCCCGTGTGTTGCGGCTATGTGCAATCCAGTTTTACCATAACGATCGGCACTGTGCAACAATTCGGCCGATCTGCTTAATAAAAGCCCAACCACTGTTATGTGTCCACCGAAACAAGCCAGATGCAATGGATTAAATCCATTCTCAGTTGTCGCTGCTTCTACCTACAAAATATCGATCATTATTTGTATTATTTATTTATATTCTATTTTTGTCTTTTTATTTAGGTGTAGTTTAATCATCATTAGTAAAATATCGATTACCTGTACTCCAGCAGAATTTAAAAGTAATCGAACGACATTTTCATTTCCCGAATAAGCTGCCAGGTGAAGGGGTGTCATACCAGATTCGGTTCCTAATTCTCCTACCAAGGAGCCACCCGTTGGTGGATCGGATTTAACAGTTCCAGGAACATTTGTCAATAATTCTCTGACAGTGTCTAGGAAACAAAGAAATTAGTTGGATCATTTATATCTAGATTTTCTTAATTCCTTTGTTCGTAGAATTTAGGTCGACAGATATTTGAGGCGACAAGATACAAACGATTAACGTGACTGGACTGAACAAAACGGTACGGCTGAACATTCTTGCACGAGCGCGTTATGCAGTTTCTAAGTTCGTGACCAGCAACATCTAAATCTTATACTTTGAGATCAGGAATTTACGATTAGGTAGAACAAATGGTCTTGAACTTTTGACCGTCGCATTAGTTTTAAAATAAAGCTCGAACAATTCGTCGATCTTTCTTAGAAAGTCATGTAGTAGTTTTATAGTAATGCCCCGGGGGAGGGGGAAGGAAGAAATTCCTATGAGCAAGGAAAATTTCGCGTACTCGTTTTAATCGCTTGATCGTGTTTTACGAGTACTCACGATAACTATTATTTTACTCGAGGAATGTTGCACGACCTTTTATTTTGCTTTTTCTGTTTTCTTTTTTTCCTTTAAAAAAATAAATGGAAGAAAAATTGGAGCTTTTTGTTACCGAATAACACAATTATTTCCTATACCACGAAAGATCGTCCCAATAGATAATACTAAAGAAAATCTAATGTAACGCAACAAAATAGTTTTTCGCGTGATCACATTCGTCCTAGTACCGAGGAAAGTCTCACTTTCGGCGACATTACCGATCACTACTTTTGACTTTAGACCAGTACGAAATAGTCACGCGAAAATCCTATCTCTCAATGTACATATGTCAAAATAGGAACAGTACGAGTAAAGTATGGTGGAAAACGATTTGCTGGAATCACGCATGGGTATGATGACCCTTTTCTAGCCGAAGCCGAACCCAAAATGTTTCGTACCAGTTACCGTTGATAGATGATAGTTAAATACGCGAATAATACTGCAGTTTTGGTATGATATCTTATGGATTAGAGCATGTAAGCGAAACTTTAACTTGAAATAAACTCCCGACCGAGTTTTTCAATTGACTATCAATTAATTTAATACCGTTGGAAGATCAGAAAGTTATATAGGAATAGGCTTACCAGCTTGGCCAAAATAAGCAGCAACGTGTAACGCGGTAACACCCAATTTCTTGCTAGAAATTCTCAACGATTGAGACGATCTCATCACTTCGAGAACTTGTCCGTGTCCGTGTTGGGCTGCCAAGTGTACCGCAGTAAACCCAGCACGATTTTCATCGGCACAGGAAGCACCAGCTCTTACCAAAGCCTTCACTACTTCCGCGTGACCACCTTCGGCAGCTAGTTGAAGAGGTGTTGCCTCGGTTAACTTGTTTCTCGCTGAGATAACACCTTGACGATCAAATTTCATAAGTTCCTCGATCACTCTAACGCTTCCCTGCATGGCTGCTATATGAGCACACGTGTTTCCGTCTTTCGTGCACGCCATTACCAAACTTGGGTGTCTTTGTAAAAAGAGTTGGGCAACTTCGGCATAATTATTCATGGCAGCGGCATGAATCGGCTTTTGTCCTTGATCGTCTGTAGCGTCTATGCTAGCACCAAGTTCCAAAAGAAGCTTGCACACTTCCAATTGACCAGCACCTGCTGCCAGGTGAAGGGGAGTCTGTTTTCTGAGCGTAAGCACGTCTATCGCGGCTCCGTGATCTTGAATAAGAAATCTGACCAAGTGGGAATAGCCGTTCATTGCTGCCAAATGCAATGCCGTTCTACCAACGCGAGATTTCGAATTGATGAAGGCTTTGTTCGCCAATAAGGCATCGCAGACTTGAAGGTAGCCATGTTCCGCGGCTAAATGTAACGCTGATCTACCCTCCAAGTCGAAAACGTCTACTCTGGCATGATTGGCTAAAAGATTCGTCACCAAATCCATGTGACCACGATGAGCTGCTATCAAAAGAGGTGTCCACCCTACCGCACTTTGTCTGTTCAAAGCTTTCTGAACTTCTGTTGCTGACATATGGCTTATCATCTCGGAAAGTACTTCGTTGTTTCCGACTAATGCACAATAATGAAAAGCAGATTCTTGCGCTTGCCTCGTTTGCAACGAGACATCAGCACCACCTTCTAAAAGTGCACGTACAACTGCACGATCGTCTCCCGGTATTAGAACCTCCGATGGTTCGATTTGAGCGGCGTAATGCAATGCACTGGCTCCCTCGTTCGTAACGCTGTTCACGTAAGCTGTTGCTACTTCTGGCCCTTTGTTCTGCTTAACAAATTCGATCAGATGACGGACTACGTCTGCGCGACATCCTCTGCAGGCCAAATGCAAAGGCGTTTCACCGTTCTAACAAGAAACAACAAAGAAAAACGCACGAGTAGAATCGAAGTATTAAAAAGGAAGAACAACTAATGGGGGGCGGGAAGGGGATGGTCCGGTTTTTTTCAATACCACATCTGAACGTATATATCTGTCTGTGAATTATAAAAATACGTACATCATACGTATCATCATCATCATCATCATCATCATTATCATCATCATCATCATCATCATAGAGTGTCATTAAGTATGTTTTTGTTGTGCAATAATCGTCGAAACATAAATAAGTAATTGAAATGTCGATAGCCAAACGTATTTGTCTCGTACTTTAGACTTGAACATAGGATCACCGCCGTCCTCGAGGAGAAGCAACAAAGTTGCCAAGTTCCCATGGCTGGCAGCTACGTGAACGGGAGTTTGTCCATCGTCAGTCGTCAGATTGGGCCCAGCTCCGGATTTTAATAACATCAGGGCACACCTATCGCCGTCTGGAACTCGTGCTGCTATATGAAGCGGAGTCTCTCGAAGTTTGCCACCCCTAACGTGCACCTCGGCTCCATAACCCAACAAAGTTTCAACCACTGCCGGTTTGGCACTTTCCACGGCTATGTGCAATGCCGTGTAATTGTCGTTCGTTGTTGCATCCACCTGTTAAGGTTAACGTCATACCATACACACACACACACACAATCATTTATTCTAATTCAATGAATTTGTCTGTCTGTTAGACAAATAAAATTAATTAGAAAGATAATTGACCTTTTCTCCTCTTTGGAGGAGTGTACTGATGATTCCCACGTGACCATATTTAGCTGCAGTGTGAATAGATCTTGCTCCGCGTTTGTTGGGCATGTGCAAGTACACGCCCTTTTTAAAGAGCATCGTTGCACATTCCGAATGACCGTTCAATGACGCTATATGCATTAGGGTAGAGCCGTCTTTCGTTCTCTCGAAGATGCTGGCCTTGAATTTGTCAGCTAGCAATTCAATTATCGTTGCGTGCCCATTTTCTGCAGCCAAGTGCATCGGTGTTCGGTCCTGGTGGTCGGCTATCGATGCGGATGCTCTGACACCGTAAAAATATTTCACCAAAATCTCGTCACCCTCGGCACTTGCAATATGTAACGCCGTTTGACCTTCACCCTGTCGCAATTATTACATTTTTTAAACAATGCTATTCATTCGTATCATTCGAAGATTCTTCAAATAATCTGTTTTTTTTTTAAATCTACGAAGTGTCCCCTGATAAATCTTATGAACAACTAAAGAACCAATCTCGGACTGGACTTGAACTCGTATACGCACTGCGACGATTAGGCTCATACATTACGCATGCATACCCTTCAACCCCCTCACTATTAACGACAGTGATTAAATTAGACTGACGTAATTCGGTTCCATTAAACAGTATGTGACTGTGTATGTGTGTGGGCGAGTTATAAAAAAAAAAAGAAAGTGTTAGCATTTCGTCCACTAATCTTAAGTCAAAATGAATGATGACTTTTTTTTTCTCATTGCGTTACTAACATGCATTTCTTAGGGTAATATAAATGCATAAGAGGAATTAAATTAACTGGGTCGATACAACCTACGCTAAAATGTGATTATCATTTGTCTAGAAAGTTAAATCGTGAAACTTGTTGCTCTATTAATTCCCATTGTATTTTCATTTTGGATTGACATACATTTTGCATGTCCACAGGAGCACCATAATCAACCAGAATCCGAACCATATCGATGTCCCTTCGTCTAGCAGCCAAATGAAGGGCCGAATCTCCGGCTGGTGTTGTAGCACGAAGTTGATCTGGCGCTTGTTGAGCTAATAATTCACGACACATGGATTGATTGCCAGCCTCGACTGCTAAGAGAAGTGGTATCTTTCCTCTCTGTTTAACAATTGCATATTTCGTTTATCAACGTTTTATATTTATTCTATGATAAAAATCAGGTATTATTACGAAATAATACGATAAAACACAACGAACGATATTCTCGTAAAAGTTTGCAACGTTGATCGATATTTATAGGTAATGTTTACGGATAGGTCGTGTCATCGATACGAAATTGTTATCGCTGAAAAGTAGGAAATAAAAAGGGACCAATATAATAAAGAAAAAGTGAAGAGGAGAGAAGTATTACGAGGGTAGGGGTCGGTGCCAGGCAGCGATGTTCACCGATTTGCAAGGCTCGTGTCACGCGAGTAACAAACATGGATCGTTGAGAAATGTTCTTTTTCTTTCTTTTTTTTAATCTTCTCCCAATTGGGGAACTTTAGTAGGAATTAAGTTGAGATCGTGCCTTCGGTGCAAGGAATTACACGAACGTCGTTCCACTTTTTTTTTGTAACTTTAAATACGTATCTCATTGATCTTTATTAGGAAAAAAAGCAAAATCAACGGGTCGCGGTTCCATTCAACTTTCAGTTTGGAAACATTCCTGATGCCATTTACTTACACCATCAACTTTCAATCTGATGTCTTTTCCTGCCGCAGCTAGCAATGCCCGTAAAATAGATGTTGCAGTTCCAGTTTGTCTGGATGCAACCAAATGAACTGCCGTTTGTTGTCTCGTCTAGGATCGATCAAATATTTTGTATAGATCGTATAGAATTTGATTTTATAGTTCGAGTTTGTTCAACATTGGATTATAATTTTGTTTCGTAATTCTTACCCCTCCGGTAGCATAAGGATCAACACCTTTTTTCGAAAGAAGCAACTTGACCACGTCTTCCCTCGAGTACATAGCAGCGATGTGCAAGGCATTGTAATTGTCCTAAAACAAAAATCTTATCTTTTTATTCGACATATTGGCATAGTTTCTTTTTTTCTTTTTTTCAAACGAGACCATAATCTATGTAGTACAACCTTGTATTACATAGATTAATTCGTAAATAAGCCATATTTACCAAAGTAATAAAGCAACACACGATCGTAAATTGCACTTGGCCGCGCCCAACATTAATCGGACGAACCACAACAATGGTTCCGCTGTTTCAATCACGGTTTATTAGCGTGCAATTTGAAAATTATATTGGAGATATAGGGAGGGCGGTGGCCGTGGTCGATACTCGACCCAACGAGTTACACGATTGCGTTACTATACTTCTATCTTTAACATAAATATGGTAATTCCATCGAATTCCTTACGAAAAATCTTTCTAACTGTTTGCACGATATCATTTCCCCCCCCTTCATGTTGTATCAAAGAATTTTATGATTGAACGTAAATGAAATTCATAGGATCCAAATGTTCAGTTTATTATATTAACATACAATTAGAATTAGAATTGTTGCCAATGTTACTTTAATAAATCCTCGGGTCAAGAACTTCGATATCAGTAGACTATACTTTTTATCTCTGTGCTTGATTATCGGATTTCCCTTTTCTTCTTTTTTTTTCTTTTTTTTTTTCGTCCTACTAAACTGACCGGCCTACTTGCTTACTTACATACTCTTTGTCGGTTCTACAAGCTCCTTGGCCTTGGCCCTTCTTCACGCAATCCTACCACCCCTCTCTCGACTTTCCTCGGATTCGAGGTAGATCATTAACTGTACACTTTCCGTGTCTAACTTTTACCCCTTGCCAACTCATGCTGGTCAAGCGATATTATTATATTATATCGATATACCACGTAAAGCACGAACCAATTTTGTATGGCAATGTCACTCTGGTTTAACTATTTTAATTTTGGGGGTGGTAATTTTAAACTCGTCAAGAGAGAAAATTGTGCTTCGATTTTACAATTCTTTCAACGCATTCTTATTATTTTCTTAAAGGAAAAGGAAAAAAATAAATGTTCATGGTCGACAGGGGGGTGGGGAGGGGAGGGGAGGGAAATTATTACTAGTTACTTGCATTGTTACGTGCACCAACGTCGGCACCCAATTCTATCATCCTGTCCAATAATCCTGTACGATTATCCTTAACTGCATGCATCAACGGTGTCATTCCAGTCGTCTGTTAATGAACGATACACATTTGTTATAATATTAATTTATCAAAAAATGATGTTGCATAGAATATACTAACCGGGTCCATAAGACCAGCCAGGGGTGCAACGAAACCTTCCTCGGGAGCATTTTGTACCGCCTTTTCCATAGATTTGAGCAATTGGTCCACGGGTGGCCATTCTCCCCGTGCAGCAAGTGCCAAAAGTCTTTGGGCACCTTCCCTAGCGGTAGCACCTGCCGAACCAGGTTTGCTACCAGGTTGAGATGGTTCTCCGCTTGCACCTCCATTGCTACCCGTTGATACCGATGTACCATCATCCTTCCCGCCAGCTGGACTGTCCTCTTTATTCGTTGTATTCTTCTTGTCGTCTTTGTTGCCTTGTGATCTCTTGTTACTGCTCATGTTACGTCGTACTGTTTTTTCTCGACGAACATGGTTCTCGGATCAAGATTGTTTTTTTAATCCTCCACGCAATTTAACGTGAATGATACTTTTATATATTTAATGAAAATTTTAATCGAATTGTCAATTATGCAACCAAAAAGTCTCTCGTTAGCCGATAAATAATGAATTGTGTATCATAAGGAATATCAGTTAGCAGGATTCGTACCGTGTTCAAACGGGGTTCGTCCTAACACCACGGCAATCCTGACGATTCTAAAGACGAACCGTTCAAACCGAGGGAAAGTAGAAGGGTTGTTCTCCGACGTTTGTAGGAGAATCGACCAATCGTGGTTCGTTAAGGTAACGGTAACCAACACCAAGAACATTATACACGATTCTATGCTTTTTCTCGGTGTGTTCTCACGTGACTGAATCGTTGTTACCTGTACAGGTATAGTGTTAAGGAAAACTGCTGAGATTGTGTTAAGGTAGTGTTGGTTCATAAGGAAGTTACTTTCACATATACATACGTGTGTATGCACACATCGACACAGAAATAGAGAGAGGGGGTGGTTGGATTTAACGTCGGCACGCGACTTCCGGACCGAAATGTCGGCACGCCATCCAACTCCGACCCCTCCCTTTATTTATTTATTTATTTATTATTTCTTTTTTTTCTTTTTATTTGATATCTCGTAGATTTTTTTATTTCTTCGACGATAAGTCAGTGTCCATCATCCCTTTTTTTTCTTTCAATTGTGTTAACTACAATGCTATTTATTATCTATGTAGATAGTGTAGTATACTTAATTATGATCATATTATTTTGTTTCATTATGTAACTTAATTAAAACTTCTTTCTTTTGTCTTAATTTCTATATTATAATGACTAATGACTAAATAAGTTGCATCTGTAATTATTGTACATTATTGTTCATTTTATTTCTTTCTTTTTATTGTTTCTTTTATTTTTCTTTTTTTATAGTCTTTTTTATTCTTTTTTTTATTGTTTTTGTTTGGAAAAAGCGTCCTTGCAACTAATGGAGGTGATCAATGATTATTTATATAACAACTTAGTATACATAAATGCATATCATAAGCCGAGCATTATACGAATTAACCACTTGACACAAATATACGTAGAGTTAGATAATATATACATCTATACATATATATATATATATATAGATATAGATAATGAGCTATAAATGAAACGTATAAAGATATTTTCAAAGCGTTGATGTTCTCATTCTCATTGCAGCGCGTGCACAATCATGCATTTCAGTTTGCAATGAAAAGGTTTAGAGTTAAGATCTTAAATTAAGAGAGGGTTTCTGAAGATAAAGATTTAATATTAAGTTGAGAAAAGAAACAGTTTTTTAATGTGTGGTGTGATGTTAAATGTAATATTTATTAATAAGAAGGTATCACAGGGAATTTGGACATCAAAAAAGAAATAGAACTTAATTTTGATAAGTTGGACGTTTCGTCCCTTTATTGGGATTTCTTCAGCAACTGGAAATTTTATTTTATTGTTATTTTTATATTTTATTTTTGGACGAGAGAAACAACTAATTGAGTAATATTTATTGATTATTTAAAAAATATCCTGTTAATTATAAACTATGACCTAGATTGAAATAATTTAGAAATTATGTAAAAGTTTACGAAAATAATACAATTATTTTTAATTATCTCAGGGTCCAATCGTTAGTTGAACGACACTGATATTTAAACTATAAATTGAATAAAGAGAATAAAAATAAGTTTTAATTATTTTCAGGTAAGGATAATCTTTTAAAGAGAACGAAGTTCACTCATTCCAAATGATAATATAAACAAGTCAATTATTCTGTTGCATAAGACACGATAAATAAGTGCTTTCATTAGATATATTTCTCATTCAATTTGTGAACGGACTGTGTTTAATACGTGCTGTGATCTCTTCTCTGTTAGTGATAATTTCATTATCTATAAGATAAGCGTGCTGGAATTTAACAAGAAAAAGAAAGTTGGATACACTTCAAATAATAATAGATTGCATTTCTTCTCTCTTTGGCAATCATCGTCGTTAATAAAATGTTTTTTCTTCCAATGAAATATTTAATATTGCACGATACTCCGCGATTAATTCCACGTGTAAAATATTTGTCTAAGTATTTATATCATTCGAATTTAAAATTGAACGGTAAGTGAATCCAAATTTAAATTGTTTGATCAACGTATATTCACAAATAATACAGAGTGTGTTTTATAATAATTTTAGTTAAAAAATATCCATCGAAATTATGCATCGTTCAAAGTAGACATCTGTGCAATAATCTTGTACTTGACAAACAATCTTCTTACATTTCTAATCCTGGAAATAAACCATTGAGAGATCAAACGATCGGTAAATTGTTAGAAGAAGCTGTTGAAAAATGGCCGAACAACGAATGCATCGTTTCTGATCATCAAAATATTCGATTAACATATTCCGAAGTGCTTCTTCGTGCTGACAAATTAGCTGCCGGATTGAAGAAATTGGGATTGAATAAAGGCGACAGAATTGGGATATTTGGGCCGAACGATATCGAATGGTTTATTACGTTTCTCTCGGCTACTAGATTGGGACTTATTACTGTTGCTATTAATTCGGCTTATCAACAAGATGAATTAATTTATTGTTTGAATAAAGTTGAAGTTAAAGCTATCGTCTCGCCAGTAAAATACAGAAAGAATAATTATACGGAAATTACTTTGGGTGCTAAAAAATGTTGTCCAAATTTAGAACATGTTATTATTTGGTCGGAGGATCATGTAACGTAAGAATCAACGTTAACACTTATCAAATTAACTATTTTTTTGTTTTTATAATAATAATAATTTGAATAAATAATAATTTGAAGGATAAATTTAAACGGGAAATAGGATAGATATTTAATTAGGTTGATGAGATAGAAGACAAAAAAAAGTTGATACTCGATCGATTAGAAAATGTGAAGGTGACATTAATTAATCGATTACCTTGTCGTTTTTTTCAGTGGTACTCGCCGTTGGCTAGATGTAGAATCCTTAGCAAGCAAAATCGAGGTTGAAGCTGTCTCTGCAGAACAAGGTAACGTCTCCACTTACGACGCCTGTAATATACAGTTTACTTCCGGAACAACTGGAAAACCGAAAGCGGCCTTACTGTCTCATAGATCCTTGGTGAATAATATTGAACGGGTAAGGATTAATTGTTCTACGTGTAATAGATTATCTGAATGTGTGTTGAATAAATCGTTTATTTTATTCATTGTTTTTTGTTTAAAGGGAATGATTAGAGCGGAGATAAAAGCTGGTTACAAAAGTTGTTTAAACGTTCCATTATTCCACGCATTTGGATTACTTTTTGGACAATTAAATACCCTATTATCAGGTTGTACGTTAATTTTAGAATCACGTTCGTTCGATCCCTTAAAATCTTTACAAGTTATGGCCAAAGAAAAATGTGACATAACTTATGGAACTCCAACGATGTGGGTTAGACAATTTTTCTATTTAATCTTATTTCATAAAAATCAATGCACACATTTTTATCATTAATTATTGTGTTTGTTTTTTTTTTTTCTTTAGATAAACATGATAGACGTTCAACAACAATTACATTTGCCTATAAGACCACATTTAGGTATAATCGGTGGTTCACCAATATCCTCTGAAGTCTTTCGACGTATTAAAGATGTTCTTGGTATTAGTAATATGAAGGTATTACTAATATTAACGATTCATGATAACAAAAAACTTGCATTATCATATCAGTATTATACTAATTTATTAATTATTCAATATTATGTATTTGTATTATTTAAAAATAACTTTTTATAATTAAGCACTTAACAAAATATGGTAAAATTTGTACGGTTTTGTTAATCGTATTATTCATATATTATGAAAATACACAAAATTATGCCAATAGATAGATAAATTTTAAAAGAGAGAAAGAGAGTAAGAGAGAAGTCGACGACCCGAGTGGCTCGTTGCTATCTATGCACATATCTTTGCAGCAAGCGAGCCCTCGGTTCGTATGCATAAAAGCTACTCTAAGGAGGAATATTGCCTCGCCTTTTGCTACGATCGATATGTACGAGCTTTCTTTGTAAAATGTATTTTTGGATTGGGCCGATTTGAAAAGTGGATTAACCCATTATCGTTATTACTTTCTTAGAATTCCAAGTGATTCATTGCAATGATTTTAACTTTTATTTTTCTTCGTAATATTTCTAATCATTTCTAATCATTTTCCCAATCATAATTAGAATGAATAATAATCTATTTTTCTTTTTCTTATTCAGACTATTTACGGACTCACCGAATTCTCGGGTATTTCTTTTCAAAGTTTACCCGGAGAAGATAGACAATTGACTGAGAATACAGTTGGATATGTATCAGACAATATAGAAGCTATGGTAAATCTATCTTCTATCATAGTTAATTATATTTTTCAAATGTGTTTTATATTGATTTTTGTTATGTGAATAGGTCGTTGATAGTAATGGGAAGCCAGTACCATTTGGATCAACTGGTGAACTTTGGACTCGAGGGTATAGTTCTATGATTTGTTATTATAATGATCTAGAAAATACCAAGAAGACTTTGACCGAGGATGGTTGGCTTAAGACTGGGGATCAATTTGTTTTACACCCTAACGGATATGGTCAGATTGTTGGAAGATTGAAAGAAATGATTATTCGCGGTGGAGAAAATATTTTTCCTAAGGTATAATCATTTTTATTTATATAATAATATTTATAATATTTATGCTAATTTCAAAAAAAAAAATTACTGTAATTTGTTCGTACGATCTCGATATAATTCACTGGTAATGAAATAGTTAAAAATGCATGCGTAATATAATTTTATTTGTATTTTTTATCTATGATTTTAATGTGACAAGTTTAACAAAAATCATTTAGGAGATTGAAGACTTTTTACTTAGTCATCCAAGTATAGCAGAAGTTCACTGCGTAGGAGCTTACGATGCAATATTTGGAGAAGAAATTTGCGCGTGTATTCGTTTATTCGAAGGCAAGGGTTTAAGTAAAGAAGAAATACAAACATACTGCAGAGGAAAAATAGCACATTTTAAAATACCAAAGTACATTGTTTTCTTAGATAAATATCCAAAAACAATGAGTGGAAAAATTCAAAAGGGTAAGCTTAAAGAGGAATTAGAAAGTAAAGGAATTATTCCTTCCATGCCAAAATGAAAATAATAAAAAAGAAAAAGAAAATAAAAAGAAAGCGTGTATATGAGAGTCCGTAAAATTTTGAAATATTTATTTTTATATTAAATAACGATAACATTTTATCAGAATAAGGTTGATTTTTTTTCTTATTTGTCTCCTTTTCTTTTTTCCTTTTTAATTTTTAATATTAAATATGCGGGAGAAATTTAAAAATATCGATACGAAAATTTAATCGATAATCGATTCTATTGATAGCTACGTAGTGTTGCGAGATGTCACCAGGTGGCAGATGAATTGTGTGTTTGGCGTCCCTCGTGATATTTTTTAATGGTGTAAGTTGTGCTTTTTTGGATTAATTTAAAAAATAATTACAATGGCTGAATATTTGGCATCAATTTTTGGGACGGAGAAGGACAAGTAAGTGTATGACATTTATTCAATTAAATATAAATTACGTTTAAAAAAATGTCGTGTGCGATTTAACCTTAATCGGATAAATTTTGTACGCAGGGTAAATTGTTCGTTTTACTTCAAGATCGGTGCTTGTCGACACGGGGATAGATGTTCACGTATTCATAACAAGCCAACGTTTAGTCAGGTAAAATAATAATTATTTCATATAATTATTTGTACAAGACAATATCATTGTTTGTGTGTTTTTTTATCAGACGTGTCTACTACAAAATCTTTACGTTAACCCACAAAATTCTGCTAAAAGTGCAGATGGCTCTCATTGTAAGTATAAATTTGTTTATCTTATTATTACAATTAATATTTATGCACTTTTAATATTAGTTATTGTAAATAATTAATTAAATGATTAAATTTATTTTCAGTGGTGGCAAATGTGTCGGATGAAGAGATGCAAGAACACTACGACAACTTTTTTGAAGATGTCTTTGTAGAGTGCGAAGATAAATATGGAGAAATCGAAGAGATGAATGTTTGCGACAACTTGGGAGATCACTTGGTAGGAAACGTTTACATTAAGTTTCGCAGAGAGGAAGATGCTGAAAGAGCAGTCAACGATTTAAATAATCGTTGGTTTGGTGGCAGACCGGTTTATGCTGAATTATCTCCAGTCACCGATTTTCGAGAAGCCTGCTGTCGTCAATACGAAATGGGGTAACTAATTAATATTAAAGAACACTAATCTCATCGGTAGAAAATCTGTTTATCATAAGGTATGTAATCTAAACGATTATTCAATTTTCAGCGAATGTACTCGCTCTGGGTTTTGTAATTTCATGCATTTGAAACCTATTTCAAGGGAACTTCGTCGATACCTGTACAGTCGTAAAAGAGGAGGAAAAATTCGATCCAGATCACGCTCTCGTTCTAGAGGACGTGATCGTAAACGTAGATCTCGGTCTCGTGAAAGAAGATCTAGATCTAAGGATCGTAAAAGACGAGACGACAAAGGCAGGGATGGACGATCTGGACGTTACTGATTATTATTCTTTGATTGTCATTTTTACATAAATAAGTTTATGCATTCAATTCGAATACTTGATTATTATTATCAAGTATTATTGTTACATAATATGCAAGTTTTGGATCGATCCTTGCTATTATGTAATTTTGACCAAATGAAAAAGATAAACATTTATTAATTTACTTATATATACATATTGTATAGAGAAACAAAAAACAAACAGCGCGATAATGCAGATTATTGCTTCTATATTTTTTATCGTAAAACTGTTATCTTGTAGGTAAAGAAAGTAACAGATAAAAAGGGTTTTATGTTAATATACTGAATAATAATTAAGTAATGAAATATGTAATATAATTTTGTGATTATAAATATGAATTATAAGCTTTTTACGTGGGTGTTGTACAATATTAACTGTGCAACATGTTGACGAAGCTATGCACAATTTTGTTTATAGTTTTGTAAAAAAGATAAATTATGAAATACGATGTATAATTTTTCTAGCAGACTATTGCTCTTATATTTCTCGGATTATCGTCAATTTATTTGTAAAAAAAGTCATTCGTTATCGACGATTATCATTGATAAAGCGAGGTAGAGAAAGTATTTGTAGTTTCGTTCGCGCGAAGAAGATTCCTAGATAGTTTTCAAAGGGTTATCATTTTTTGTTCTATCGTACCGACTCAAATTTATCGACACAGATTGATATTATCGACTTTACATGGTTCTACTTTTTCTCTACATATTTATCACTTGGTAGGTGCTGCCATTTGATGTCAATCACACGAACTACAAGTTTCTCTAAAAATATTCATTGATTCGCGATGCAGAAGATGCATGTATCTACGATAACATCAATCATAGTCAATTTGGTAAAAGCAAAAGAGAAATGATATTATTGGAAAAACACGAGATGATAAAATTAATTATAATTCTTTTTTAATAGTATCTATTTTTATTTTCTATAATCATAACAATTGCATATAGATATCGATCGGTTGGATCATTCGAGGTTTTATAAAAAAGATTCAAAAAGGAGGATCGAAATCGATATATCCGGGCACGTGTTTTCAGGTAGATCTAATTGGCCCGAAGGGTTTTGGGAGCAACGTGGACCATTTCAGTGTCGGGTTGTGCATCGAACAGCCGTGCATTACCGCGGCAGATGGTGCTCGTCGTGATTGCAGCTGCTCTCAGAAGAACACCTGCCGTGGCCGTTCTCTTTGCCAACTATCGAGATGCACACCGTATCACTGTCAGTACTCCTCTTCCCTCTCTCCTCCCTTTCTCATACATTTCTCTATCTTCTTACGTTCACCGTATGTTGGTTCAACATCGTTATAAGTAAATACGTTCATTTAGCAATTTATTTAACGATTTATCTCGGATACCATTAACTCTCTCGGGATGAAATTATTCCAATAAATTGGTTCCACTTGCAAATTTATCGGAGCTAACAGTTTCGTTTCTTTTTTTTTTTTTTCGAAGGATAACAGAATGAAAATAATTTTAGGACATCTGGTAAATTCGTGTCACTTTTATTCTTATCAAATGAATCCTATTTTTGTCTTAATGATCATTTCATTAACACCGTGATATTCGTATTGATTAATAAATAGATTTTTCTCTCTTGTCAATTTAAAGAAAAATGTATTATAAATGAAAAATATTAATAATCAGATAGTTAACGAGAGTAAACCGGAATAGTTTGAATTCGAACTCAGACGTATAGATCATCGTTAGGTAGGGAAACATGGTTTATACTACAAATCGATGTCCGGTGGATTTTTACACGCAGCTAATATCGATTCATAAAACTTCGTAGCCTCGGTAATCTCCACGTTGATATCTGTTTTACGATCCCGTTTGCTATATAACCACCAACCATGGTCATAAAGCATCGACAACACCGATCGATCCCAATGATTGGGAGTCATAAGCGAACGAATTTCATTTCGTTCGATTACGATAGGTGCAATTAAACTTTTAACTGCAATAATATTTTATTTATGTTTTCATTAATATTATTTCGTCGATCATTATACATTATAACTGAATGATAATAAATACAATCGTAGTGAATAGAATTTTCGTTTAAACTAAAAATATGACGAAAGAATTAAAGTGAATCGGATTGGAGCGAAATGAAAAGAAAGGGGATGAAAATGAAGGACGAAGTTGGAAGGGGTTGTTAAATTGTTGGATAACCGGGCCCACCCAAAAGATCATAATTAATCCTGGCAATCTGCCAGTGAATCGAGTACGTTGTAAGGGTTTACTTGTACCAGTTGGAAAAAGTATTCTCGATGAAAATAGATGAAGGAAAAATTGCATGAGTTAATATGGACACTCTTGATCATGATTTCCCTTGTCGAGATACGACAGGCTAACGAGCTGTCAAACGTCAAACATCATACGTCAAATGTATCGAACTTTTCGCGTTATTATTGACTTCTTCCTTATTTTCTCTCCTTCCTACATTTCGCATCATTAACTTTGTATTGGTTTGGACGATGACGTCATTAGATTGAATTATTAATGTTCAGGAAATGAAGCTGCTATTTATTCGATCAGTATTTTTATATCCTTTTCTTTTTTTGTGGGGTGGGGAGGCAGAGAGGAGTCAGTATATATTTAAAAAATAATATTCATTTTAGAATAAATTCAACATATTATATATTTAAATTTTAATTGTTCAATATTATAATAAGGTTTCGTGTTAGGATTTAATGCAAATAGGGGTGCGTTTGGATTACAGGGTGCATTCTAATATTTTATCATTTTATTTTCCGAACAATACGATATTTTACAAAATATTCATCAATATAAATATAATTTAATAATAATTTAATATATATAATAAGATAAAATATAAGAATGATCTATTTTTTTTTTTGTAGTTAGAAAGATAGAGAAAATATGTTTCAAAGCAGACCGTATAAGAGAAGTTATGTTCATATGAAAACAAAGAGGGGAAAAGGAAGAAAAATATGCTCCACAGCAGCCATTTAATCGCGAAACATGAATGCCAGTGCATTGCAAAAAGAGAGAGAGAGAAAGAGAAAGAGTAAGATAGAAAAGGTGAAAAGCCTGATTGAATCCTGAATATGCATGGGTAAAGCAGCTATGTGTTTGGTTTGTTTTCTCGAATTTGGCGGAGTATCCTTTTGATCGGTTACTTTTGCTTATCATAGATCGATCAAAGAGTATCCATTAAAAAAATGAAAGTCCAATACTTTTCCCTACATTTTCCATTATGTTCAGTTTTTTTTGTAATACTTTTGTGCACGTACGTGCATATTTCATCTCTTAGAAATATTTTAGAAAAAGATGTTTTTGTAGATATTTTAAGATGTTCCAAGTGTGTGTATAATTCGTGAAAATATTTTCCTATCAAAATTAAAAAAATATAAAAGTAAAATACTATTGTTTTTTTTTTTTTTTTTAATAATAATAAATACATTTACGAAATATATTATGAAACATCATAGAATAACTTTGTATATAGGGGAAGATAATTGATAATTATTTGATTAAAAATGATTCGTGGTAATAGATAAATTTTTATAACTTATGTAATTATTGTATTTTTTGTGTGACGATAAGATGGATAAGTGTAAAGTATTTATAATTCGTAATATCTACGTCATTTCTATTGAGAAGAATATTATAAATCGGTGGCTATCAGATTTCACGCATCCCCGGGTTTAATTTTCACACGAGAGTGATCCTTTCGCAGGCGTACATATCTTTTATCTCGAATACCAGAATATCGATTCTTTTCATCGATTCTATACCGATTTTATAACGATTATATCGTTTCATTTCAAGCTGCGACGTGTACGAATCGAGAGAGAAAGGGAGTATGTATTATGCTTACGATGCACCGAACTTTACCGCATCCCGTACCATAGAGTACCGCACCTATATCGTATCGTATCGTATCGTATCGTAACGTACCGTACTCTGTCCGTCCGAGCGATGCATTTTAATGAAATATTTCCAGCTGCCGTTTGAAATGTTTGTAAATTATTTACAAAAGGGAATTTAATTCTCTTTTTTAGGTATTAACGTATTCCCATATGATATCTATTGTTCCCTTCTTTAATAATTTACATTATATCTGTACAGTATATATTTACTTCATTTTATTCTAATGGAGGAGATAGCAACAACAACAAAAAAAAACTTTCACAGCAAAGAGATAAATACGTATTATAAAAATGCATAATATATATTTCATATATAATTATAATTTTAATATATATATATATAAAATATATATATCACACCATTCTTTCAATAGAGAAAATATTAAACGAGGGATTTAAAAAAAAATAGATAAAACAGTGTAGATTGATTCATAAACATTTTTATCGATTAAAATTAAACGAGAATAAAATATACACACGCGCAATAGAGTACGATATAAATTAACATTAATAAAAGAAACATACTTATAATAAAATGCTAATAATTTCAATACGATATACCACGAATAATAATAATAATAGAGTAACAAAATAAAAAATAGGAGAAGAGTCAAAATAAAAGCCTACTTGTTAACCGTAATTGTTGTTAAAGAGTTGAAATGAATAAAAGATAGAAAGAAGATAACTTAAGTTCCCCTTAAACGTGAGTTGCAAAAGAGAAATAATAATAAGAAGAAGAAGAAGAAGAAGAAGAAGCTGTGGCACGCAACGTCGTAGTTAAAGAAGAGGAAAAAGATGATGGGGTGGTGGTGGATGAGTAAGAAGGGTAGGAGAGGGTTGAAGTAGCAAGAGGGCATCGTAGACACTCGCATTTTTTATGGACGAGCAGACCGTCCTCGAGGCTTGGTCGAGGCTCATTTAGTAGAACGTTCTGAATAGGTGAGCCGCACTTCGCGGAGGCAGGCTTTTGCTTTATATCTTTTTCTTTTTTTTTTCCTTTTACTCTCTCTCTCTCTCTCTCTCTCTTATCTCTCCTCTCTTGGAGTACTCTCCCGAGTTTACTCGGACTGAATGCGTCGCTCGTTAGTCCGTTCCTTCTAAGAACGTCCGGCTTCCGTTCGTAATACTTTTTGCAATTTTTCCATAGCATATCGGTAAGATGATTTTTCTATTTCCCCCTCTCACTCTCTCTCTCTCTCTCTCTCTTTTTTTTTTTTACTTTAGAAGATCTTCAAGTATTATCGATAACTATCATAATGAAAAACTTTGTTGCATACTTAACTAGAGTTCGGTTCTTTTCGAATAATCCACAAACGATTCATTTTTGTTTGACGATAAAAATAAAATATCCTTCTTTTTTTCCTTGTTTCATTTTTATTCGAGTTGTTATCGAGATATTATTATTGACGATTCGATTGATCGAACGTAATTTCTTAATACGATTTAAAGATATAAATGGATATTGTTATTTTAAGAAAATTGTTAAGGGAAAATTTGCGTGCAACCAAACGTCATTGTTACGTTTAATTAGAATGAATTAGAATTTAGGAATAGTTTAGGTCGGAAGTTGAA